GGGTTCCAGACTGGCATTAGCAGGAATTACCTCTGGTCTTATAACTGTCACAGTTGATCCCGTATCCACCAATGCTAAACATGGAATTCCCTCCACCAAAATTGGCACATGACAAAAATCACTAACACATGTTCGTCCTACCACAATCACAGACTCCTTAGGGCCACATTCACCCTCCCCCAACAGTCCTTGATCATTTTCCCTCCGTCCATCCCTTGAGACTCCTGCTGGTGATAACTCATATTTGGGATGAGTGTTGGGGGTCCGCATGGCCCCGATCATGCGGACCCCGTCCCATTTCCCGGATTACTGGCTAGCTTAGGACACTGACGAACTAAATGTCCCGTCTGCCCACAACCCCAATACATCCTTGGTCGTGTGCGAGGACGCTGATCAGGTTGCAGTGCCACCGCGCGAATTAATTCAGTACTCTTAGAAACCCAGGCTGGCCTTTCGCTTATCCCCTCCCCCACGTCAGTAGACCTCACCGACACAGATTGCCGCTGGCTTTCATTCGGCATCCAAGTTCCCCAAACAATCTCCCTCTCCAAAGCCATCTCCAAGGCATCCTGCAGGGTTTTAGGGTGGGCTAGTTGGGTAACCGTGGTAGTGTTTGTGGGCACTGGGTTGTGGGCACATTCACTACATTTAATGCACAATTGACATGCGTCGATTTCATTTGTGCGAGCCCTGTACCGTGGTGGGCTGTGTTTGTGTGTAGAAATGAACACTGGGCTGTGGGCATTTTATTACACTCATAACACCATCGGCTGTGGCCGGAAAACCAGAAAATACAATGCTTATAAGATTTTTCTGGGTCGCCGTGGAAACGGCATTTATGTGCAGGCAAGCGGGCTGTGGTACCGGCTTGTTTACTGCAAAATACACTGGAACAGTCGCATTTTCTGGAACTGAACGAGCGAAAAGTTTCAGTGGAAGTCTGGCCGCGGCGAGACTAAATTTCTATCTGCTGCGAGAGCCGGGATCGAACACGGGTCTCTCGCGCGAAGGCTTCGGGTCCCGCCACTGAGCCACAGGGAAGGTGAAGGTATGTTTGCAGGTGTGCGTGTTATACAACAGGCTCATTGCTGCAATATTGACATTTTCAGCCACTCAAACTAAGAGGAGCTGAGAAATGTTTGAGAAATGGAGATTAGTCCGGCCTCGGCGGGACTAAAACACACTCTTTCCTCATTTTGCCGGTGACGCACGCCCATGGGTGGCGGGGTAGATTTCTTATAACGTAAAAAAAGCTAGCCGCGGTTTTAGGGCTCGCGGCCTTGATGCTCGCCCGTTTCCCTGACGACTCGCGGACAGAAGGTGGAGGTCCACAGAGCTCGCCCAGTCCTCACTGTACGACGCCAGGATAGAGCAGCAGGTCTCCTCTACAGATGCAGCTATCTCGTCGTCATTAATGGCGGAAGCGGCGCGCGCGCGGCGGCCGTTATCCGTCAGTGAGCGACTCGAGTGAAGCTGGTGAAGCTGGCGGGTGAACCGGCGAGCTTTCACGGGCTGGAGAAGGCTCGGGGACCCGCTGAGTACGGCGCTTTACGGCGCGGCACTGTAGCGGGTGGAAGTGCAGTCTCGCTGAAGGATGCCAGGCGAGTCCTCAGAGTCACCGTAGGCAATAGCTCGCAGTGAGGGCAGCCGCCGTCGGCGAGCGCGAGAGCTGCATGATCCTCTCACAGGCAGGAAACGCATCACATGGCGGTCCCCGTCGCTGAGTGTGGCTCGGCACGAGCCACAGGAGGATGGCATCTTTAAAAAGACGCGGCTCTTTTAGATGATAGACGTGTGAGTCGCGGGGCGAGCACACACACACACACACACACACACAGAGCAGAGTAAAGGATATATAGTACGCCGGAAAGCGCAGCAGGTACGGCGGCTGAAGGCGGCGAGGTGAAAGCCAGCGACTTCAGGCTCAAGGGCTCGTCCCGCTGAAGGCTTGCGTCGACGGCGCGGCTTCTCACTCCGGATCCAGCGATGCGTGTAGCTTCGCTGAAGAGATGAAAATCAGTTTGTATCAGCTATCGACCTGCTTATATAGGGCGAGACCACGCCCTTTCTGGCAGGACGTGACGAAATGGGCGCGAAGTGCCCCCATTGGTCAAGACGTCACGCAGAGCCGCTCTCGATAGGCTGCTGCTTTTGCCGCAGGGCAGCCAATAGGCGCGCGAGCCGCCTCGCCTATGTCTGCATGCTGCCGCAAAGCGTTTTACATTGATTAAAAATTAAAGATAATTTTTGGCTTCAATATCTCGAGGAAAAGAGGTTTTCCCCATAGCGTAAGATATTACGCAGTACGAGAGATACTCTCGTAAGAGAACACAATAACCATAACGTGTTGTTCAGTATAAACGTGAGATTATGAATTATATTGAGAACATCATACATAGAAAACATGCCGTAATGTACCCTAAGTGTAAACCTTAGACGCATTCATTGTGAAGCGTGCAGCTAGCGATTTGCAAAGATTAATATAAATATTAATATAAAGTTTAATAAAACGTTACACTCACTTCAGTTGTTCTAGAGGTTCAGCAGGAACACGAATAGCTGGTACCGATCCTTTTTTCATGAGCAGCTTCTTAGCAAAACCAGCTTTATACTGATCCTCATTTATAAAGCAGTCTGGTGAGAAATGATTTGCGCAAACATGAAAGCATTGACGTTGCTCGTGGGGAATATCAGAGCCCGTCTAACGGAGAGCCTTGGCACTTCCTATTAGCCCCATTGTGTATCATATTGGTTGCAGTTCCATTAGAATTCCACTGGAGGTGATCGCGGGCGAGTGCAGAATGAATGGGAGTCTATGGAGCTAAACGGCTAAATGTATCTCTTTCTCCTGCTTGTCGTTGAATCAACATAGATTTTATTGTTGATTCCACAAGTGCAATATAGATTATAGGCCAAAAGTCGAATGAACGAGTACTTATGTCCTTTCGATTTCTTACAGGTTAGGATTTTGTTGGCCGGAACACGCTAGCATTCTGCTATTATGTGACGTCATCACATTTTTGAACGGATTTTTAGAACAGATAAGTGAACTTAAAAATGCAATTTTCAGCTGAGTGTATTATCTTAGCCCTCCCTTTTGAATGCAACTTTCAAATTACTTGACAAAAAATTACATCCTGAGAAAAGTGGATTTCTGGGGGTGAAACCCCACAGACTCCCATTCATTCTGCACTCGCCTGCGAGCGCCCCCGCATGGACAGAGACGTGTTACTGCAGCCAGTCCAGAAACCGGAAGTAACCAGAAAGTGCCAATTCTCTTCAACTAGACATTCTCTCAAGGGGGTAATCCATCGACCGGAAGTTGAGCCGGCCGGGTGCCGCCATGTTGTAGCAGAACTTCACTTGCGTTAGCATTTCCATTGACTCCCATTCAATTTGGCGTCACTTTGACAGCGAATAACTTTACATCTGAGGCGTTTAAAGACTCCATTTGTCCATTATTTATTTCTAAAGAAACACGACAATGTATAAAGGGCTCCATTACCTTCTATGTTACATTATGGCCCCGTAGAAACAGATTTAGTAAAAATAGGCTAACGATTGCGTCATAACCACTCGACTCTCTGTCGCGCTGTACAGAAATTACCGTAAAGACAGGAGGAGAAGCTCGCAGGCAATCGGGGGGACGTCCCGTCAAGGGAGAAGCCCATAGATAATGAGTCCATAAAAGCAACGGAATACTTACTCCTGCTCACTCACGCCAAAGAACTCTTTGCTCAAGTTCCCCCGTCTCTGCAAGATTAACGTTGGCAATTTTCACGCAGAGCTACTAGAAGATTAACGTCTGTCAGACAGGTTGCTCACGTCATCAAGCTTAGTTTGAGTCGGTTTGAGTCTGCGCGTCAGGAACGGAAGTGCTCAAAAATCGCTAAAAATGGGCTTCAACTGTCTCAACTGAGTTCCAATGAGATGGCTCTGTCCACTTCTTATACTGTCTATGCATTCTCTGGGAATATTCCCTTCGAAAACAAACTCAGCCACTGCGTCTTCAGCGGTTCGGATTTAGGAACATTAAAATGACTGCTGTGTTCGTTATTACACCCAAGAACAGAACACCACAATCGCTTAGACGCCATTCTGCTCATAGACAGTGCTCCAGCATATCAACAATGACCGCGCCGGTCCGCGCAGACTATGATTGACAGCTCTCACGAGCGAGGGCGGGTCTGTGTTGAAACGCTCCTGTCAATCAACAATCGTGGGAGGGGCTTCCGAGCGTGTGACGTCACACGGTCGAACGGCTCGATTTGAGGCAGGGGAAAACATAAAAGGAGATTAAAACAAAAACACTGGATGGATTTTTATCATTATATGATGGTTGTGTACAGGCACTGCCAACACACATTTCAGTACAATCAACTTGTAAAAGTGCATGTACCATTATATGACCCCTTTAACCAGCTCTGTTGTTGTTTTCTGTTCTCCTCTCAAAGTTGTTTTGCTTCCTTGTATTTTCCCTACAAATAAAGTCCCTGTTTTGATAGTGTGTTTTATGGAGAAAGAAACATCCTCAATCATTCCACTGTAACTTCACACAAACACTATTGGAATAAAGGTTAAATGTGGTTTTAAGGGTTCTTGACTCAAGTTTAAAGAACCTTTTATGCCAAAAACTTTCTATGCATAAAAAAATTAAAACGCTTAATTCATAACATTCATATATCGTATCATAAAAATGAATTAAAACTAAATCCATAAAATGATCCCATGATGGGAACCTTTAAAAGGATTTATATACACAGCTCCTAATCTGATTCATACACTCTCTTTTTATTTGAAAAGAGCAAAACTGACATGGGCTTTATATAAATATACAGGTGTACACAAAATGCAAAATCTAATAAACTTTATTGCCAGAACACATCAGCAAAAAAACAACAGGATAACACCCAAACAGTATATAAATCTTTAACATTTTCAGAGGTCTGGTCCTCCTGGTCCTAGAAGAGAAATACAGACGTTGAACATCAGAACACACTTCAGATTCCAGCATCCTTCGCCATTGAATAGAAATGTCCCTGTTTGTGAAGCAAAGTACTGGGCGAATCAAACTCCACGATCTTCCCAGAATCCAGGACCATCACCCTAAACACAGACCAGAGGAGAGGTCAGGACCACCGACAGCAGAACATGCGGCTTTAGTTTAGATTCCACATGCATGGAGTTCATTTTAAAATATGCAGATATAATCCATTTATATCATATACAATGAAACCAAAAGTTATTCAGACACCAGATTTTTTTTACTAGTGTGTGCAGGACACTATAGTTCCCTATCGGTCAGTCACTACAACGTAGGTCAGACTGACCAATAGGAATCTCGCTAGAGAGGCCAATCTACTTCGAGTGAAACTAAAACAAGCCAATGCACATTGGCATGCAATCATTTGCATCAGCTGCGCGTCCTCGTCAGCGCGGGTATTTAACAGCAGCTGTTATGATTGCACACTAGCTTTTTGCTTCGGAGCCAAACGCTTCATGTTTAATTCTACAGAGTGTGACTACGAGCCTCTTCTTTGGACCTCTCCTTCCCGGTGCGGGCGTTACAGCACGGCAGCGCGAGCAGTCTTCTTTTTCTCTCTCCTGTCTGTGGTGTGTTGGGCAAAACCAAAAAGCTGTTGTAACAGCTGGTAAGGTGCGCCGTACGAGCGCTCAAAAGCTGTTTTCACAGCTGGAAAGACAGCGAGAGAGAGAGAGAGAGAGAGATCGCGCACAGACAGGTGCACATTCCTGTCTGTGTTCACAGTGACTGTTCCCCTGCGTATTTCAGCACCAGTGAGAGCAGTCCCTAAAAGAGCTTACACAAATAGAGAGCGTCTTTTAAAAAGAAAAAGATGACTTTCTATTTGTGTTTTTCTGGATGCGGTCGTTACCTGGGCTCACAGGATGGTCACAAACGCTGCCTCGTGTGTCTGGGCATTGAACACGCTGAGGCAGCGTTTGTGGATGAGTCATGTACCCATTGTGGGAAGATGACCATCGCGGAGCTACGGTCGAGACTCCTGTTCCTGCAAAGGGGCGGAGTCCCCGTGCCTCTGCCTCATTCCAATCCTCCTCAGAGGGTTGCTTCGGGCGGGGGCGCGGGTGACCTGAGGATCACGGTGAGCGCGTCTCCTTCGGGGAACCAACCCCCTAGGAGCCCTCACCCCTCTCATGCTCCGCAGCCAGTTGAGCTTCCATTGGAGAAAGCTGGACCATCCTCGAGGTGTGTACCGGTTGTCTCCTTTGGGGCTCCCAGTGACCAGATGTCGATCGCTGCATCGGAGGGTGGGTCAGACCTCTCTGCGGACGACGACTCGGCACCGCTGCCTCCTTCGGGGGTGCCAGCGGTGCCTGAGACGGACCCGGAGATGATGGCCATGCTCTCCAGGGCCGCCAACGGGGTCGGGCTCGTGTGGAATCCTCCACCGTGTCCCGAACCCTCGAGGTTGGATGATTGGTATCTCGGGGTGGCGCGCGCTGGTTCTCAGCAACCCACCCCAGTGCCTTTCTTCCCGGAAGTGCATGAGGAGCTTACGGGAACGTGGACGGCACCTTTTACTGCCAGAAACCGTTCCGGTGGCTCCTCCTCCCTCACCACCCTTGATGGCGGGGCAGCTAAGGGATACACGCGCATCCCGCCAGTAGAACGGGCCGTTGCTATGCAACTGTGCCCTAACTCCACTCGGCGCGGAGAACCGTGTCTTCCTTCCCGGGCCTGTAGGTACTCGTCGGACCTATTCGACGAGGCTTACAAGGCCTGTGGGGAAGCTGCCTCTGCCATGCACGCCATGGCGTTGCTGCATGTCCATCAGGCCAAGGCACTGAAGGACCTGCATGAGGGTGGTCATGATCCACAAGTTCTCCAGGAACTTCGTGCCGCAACGGACCTCGCGCTTCGTGCGACGAAGGTCAACGCGCGGTCAGTGGGTCATGCGATGTCCACCTTGGTGGTCCAGGAGCGCCATCTCTGGCTGTGTCTGGCAGACATGAGTGAGGCTGAGAAGCTCCGGTTCCTCAACTCCCCCGTGTCCCAGACCGGCCTCTTCGGCGACGCGGTCGAGAACTTCGCCCAGCAGTTCTCGGCTGTACAAAAGCAGACTGAGGCCATCAAGCATATCCTGCCGCGGCGGTCAGCTGCTGCCTCCAACCAGGTACCAGGTAAGTGCTGCACAGCACACACAGACCCTGCTACGGGCGGCCTCCCAGAGAGAGCCTCCCGAGCCGCATCCCTGTGTTCCACCTCGCTGCCCCACTCCGGGTACGCCTACGGTCCCTTTGGTCCCGCTTGCACGGTCTCTGAGAGCCTGGTTAGCGCTCCCCAGTCTGTCTCGCTGGCTCATTCGGACCATCAGGCTCGGCTATGCGATTCAGTTCGCCCGGCGCCCCCCCAAGTTTCGGGCCATCCACTCCACTACAGTGAGAGCAGCCGATGCCCATGTCTTGCGTGCGGAGATCGCAGTCCTGCTGGCGAAGGACGCGATAGAGCCGGTCCCTCCAGCCGATATGAGGTCAGGGCATTGCAGTCCCTACTTCATTGTACCCAAGAAAGGTGGTGGGTTACGACCAATCTTGGATCTGCGAGTTTTGAAACGGAGCCTCCACAAGCTACCGTTCAAAATGCTCACGCAGAGACGCATTTTCGGATGCATCCGTCCCCAAGATTGGTTTGCAGCGATCGACCTGAAGGACGCGTACTTTCATGTCTCGATTCTTCCTCGACACAGGCCGTTTCTGCGCTTTGCGTTCGAGGGTCGAGCATATCAGTACAAGGTCCTGCCCTTCGGGCTGTCCCTGTCTCCCCGTGTCTTCACGAAAGTCACGGAGGGAGCCCTTGTTCCCATGAGAGAAGAGGGCGTTCGCCTCCTCAACTATCTCGACGACTGGCTTATACTAGCACACTCTCGAGATCAGTTATGCGAACACAGGGACCTCGTGCTCACGCACCTCAGCCAGTTGGGCCTTCAGGTCAACTGGGAAAAGAGCAAACTCGCCCCTGTGCAGAGGATCTCTTTTCTCGGTATGGAGTTGGATTCGGTCGCACAGACAGCGCGCCTCACAGAGCAGCGCGCTCAGTCGGTGCTGAACTGCTTGAACATTTTCAAAGGCAGGACAGCGGTCCCACTGAAATTTTTTCAGAGGCTCCTGGGGCATATGGCGGCGGCAGCAGCGGTAACTCCGCTCGGCTTGCTTCATATGAGACCGCTTCAGCACTGGCTTCACGGCCGAGTCCCGAGATGGGCGTGGCATCATGGCACTCACCGGGTGGCAATCACACCGGCCTGCCGCCAGACCTTCAGCCCGTGGTCAGACCTCTCGTTCCTTCGGGCAGGAGTCCCCTTGGAACAGGTCTCCAGGCATGCTGTGGTTTTCACAGATGCCTCCGCCACCGGCTGGGGTGCCACGTACAACGGGCATGCAGTGTCAGGGGTGTGGACGGCTCCCCAACTACATTGGCACATCAATTGCCTCGAGTTGCTAGCAGTACATCTCGCTCTGAGCCGCTTGAAAAGGTCGCTACAGGGCAGGGACGTACTGGTCCGTACGGACAATACAGCGACCGTTGCGTACATCAACCGACAAGGTGGTCTACGCTCCCGTCGCATGTCGCAACTCGCCCGCCATCTCCTCCTCTGGAGTCAGAAGCGTCTGAGGTCGCTTCGAGCCATGTATGTCCCTGGCGTGCTCAACCGTGTGGCCGACGAGCTATCACGAGCTGTGCTTCCGGGAGAATGGCGACTCCACCCCCAGGTGGTTCAGCTGATCTGGAGAGAGTTCGGAGAGGCTCAGGTAGACCTGTTAGCCTCTTCAGAGACCTCCCACTGCCAGCTGTTTTACTCCCTGACCGAGGGAACACTCGGCACGGACGCACTGGCACACAGCTGGCCCCGGGGCCGCCGCAAATATGCGGTTCCTCCAGTGAGCCTACTTGCACAGACACTGTGCAAAGTCAGGGAGGACGAGGAGCAGGTCCTTCTGGTGGCTCCCTATTGGCCCACCCGGACTTGGTTCCCAGAACTCATGCTCCTTGGGACAGTCCCTCCCTGGCCCATTCCTCTGAGGAAGGATCTTCTGACTCAGAGACGGGGCACCCTATGGCACCCGCGTCCAGACCTCTGGAAACTTCATGTCTGGTCCCTGGACGGGACGCGGAGGTTCTAGGTGACTTACCCCCTGAGGTACTTAACACCATCACTTCAGCACGGGCGCCGTCCACGAGACGTGTTTACGCCCTGAAGTGGAACCTGTTCGTCGAGTGGTGTTCTTCTCGCCGAGAAGACCCCCGGAGATGTTCGATAGGGTCTGTGCTTTCCTTCTTGCAGCAAGGGTTGGAGCGAAGGCTGTCTCCCTCCACCCTCAAAGTACATGCTGCCGCTATTTCAGCTTATCACGACCACATAGATGGCAAAACAGTGGGGAAGCACGACCTGGTCGTCAGGTTTCTTAGGGGGGCGAGACGATTAAATCCTCCTCGACCCCCCTCCATACCCTCTTGGGATCTTTCCCTGGTGCTTCGAGCACTTCAGGATGTTCCCTTTGAGCCTCTGCAGTCAGTAGACTTAAAGCTTCTTTCCATGAAGACTTTGCTGCTGGTTGCACTGGCCTCTGTCAAGAGGGTAGGAGACCTGCACGCATTTTCGGTCGACGAATCGTGCCAAGAGTTCGGGCCGGGTGACAACCATGTGGTACAAAGACCCCGGCCTGGCTATGTGCCCAAGGTTCCTACCACTCCCTTCAAAGACCAGGTAGTGAACCTGCAAGCGCTGCCTTTGGAGGAGGCAGACCCAGCCCTGGCTTTGCTCTGTCCCATTCGCGCTCTGCGTATGTACGTGGACAGAACTCAAAGCATCAGGACCTCAGACCAGCTCTTTGTCTGTTACGGAGGCCAGCAGAGGGGAAAGGCTGTCTCCAAGCAGAGGATGGCCTACTGGATAGTGGATGCCATCGCCTTGGCTTACCAAGCTCAAGGCGTGCCCTGCCCGCTCAGGTTGCATGCACACTCCACGAGAGACGTTGCATCTTCCTGGGCGCTGGCACGTGGCTCCTCGCTAACAGATATCTGTAGAGCTGCGGGCTGGGCGACACCTAACACGTTCGCTAGATATTATAGCCTACGTGTAGAGCCGGTCTCCTCCCGTGTTCTCACCCTAAACGGGTAGAAGCACCGAGAGGCCCGGCTCTGTCGGCTTGCTGCACCCTACTGTGCACCCTTATTGCTCCAGAGTGAAAAACCTGTTGAGTCCTCCAAAAACCCCTCGGCCCGGACATGGCGGAGCGTCCAGGTGCCAGGCCTTTATCCGCTGAATCCTTGAGAACCGGATCTGGGCTGGGTTCCATATGTGTGACCCTACGGGGATCCCATATGTGTATATTTCCACGGCTGCTCCTAACGGAAGCCCGTGTCTTTCCCTTGGGCTAAGTCACCCACTATCTCATATGTAGTACAGCCTTCGGGCTAGTCCATATGTATTCCCCACATAACTCCTTGAAGTAAGTGGCTTCCGCAGCGTCCTCCTTCCTAACTGAAGGGCACGCTTTCCCAGTGTTATCCAATAATCTCACTGTATGGGTTATTACGGAACAACAGTGACAGATACACTCTGTGTGTAGCCTCCTCCTATCGTCCTTCTAGGCAAGAAGGTGTAGAGGCTTGCATGGGGCGCTGGATGGGGTGCAGCAGCTGTGGCGCTTTGGTAGGGATTCCTATTGGTCAGTCTGACCTACGTTGTAGTGACTGACCGATAGGGAACGTCTCGGTTACATATGGTAACCCTCGTTCCCTGAGGGAGGGAACGGAGACCTAGGTCCCGTCGCCACATCTGCTGCCGCCCGCTGGGGCGGCCAGCTTTTTCAGGTTTGGCTCCTCAGCAAAAAACTAGTGTGCAATCATAACAGCTGCTGTTAAATACCCGTGCTGACGAGGACGCGCAGCTGATGCAAATGATTGCATGCCAATGTGCATTGGCTTGTTTTAGTTTCACTCGAAGTAGATTGGCCTCTCTAGCGAGATTCCAATTGGTCAGTCTGACCTACGTCTCCGTTCCCTCCCTCAGGGAACGAGGGTTACCATATGTAACCGAGACGTTCATTTATGTAAGTAAGGAGAGCAAAATAAAGTAAACTGAAATATTATACAGAAAAAAAATCTTCATGCAGTGACTACCAGTAAAATTGTGATAAGAATGTGGGACCAAAACTTATTCAGACACTTTGAGCTGACCATGTTTTGCTGAAGTGTTTTTTCTCATATTATCAAATGAATCTGTGTTTTTGAACGAATCTTTGAATGAATGATTCAATGACTCTATATAAATAAAAAGGACTTGGCTCACCGTGAACTGTCCAGAATGGTGTTGAGCCGGTGTGCGATGGTGAGAACAGTACAGTGGGAAAACTCCCTGCGGATGGTGCTCTGGATGAGATCGTCCGTCTCCAGATCCACGGCTGCTGTGGCTTCATCCAGGATGAGTATACGGGATTTCCTGAGCAAAGCTCGGGCTAAACACAGCAGCTGTCTCTGACCAAGACTAGTGGAAACACATAAACATGTCAAGATCAGAAACTAGACTTACAGGTTTTCCTGCTTGAATGTTGATTATTTTCCTCATATTCTCCATTGTTGCAGCTCCTCTCTTCCCAGTCTGTCAGTAACGCTCTGTTTACTTCCTGTCTCTATGAAGCCCCTCCTTCTGAACAGCACACTGTGATCTGATTGGTCGGCTGGAGCAGTGTGTTGTGATTGGTCGAGCACTTCGAGTGTGTTTGGGAAATGTCCCGCCCCTTCCCATATCCGCCAGTTTAACACACTACTAACTAACTCAACCAGGCCCCGCCCCTTTATTCTGCGTATGAATTATTATAATGAGGAATATTGTGACGTGCTCGTACCCGGAAGAAACTCAAGACTACAATGAAGGCGTTTCAGGAGTTCAGAAACACTGACACTGATGTAGAGAATAAGTCATGCTGCAACATTACACACTAAAATGTGTCTATTATAGGATGCGCTGCTTCTAATTCAAATGGCCTGACCAAAGAAGATACACTGAGAGGATTAGCTGTAGCTAACTTTCATTATTATTGTGCTACGACTCCTAAAATCTAAACAAACTGAAAAGTATCAGTATTACGATTAATCACCACAATTTTGAATTACCTCAAGATGCACTCATTTGAATTATGTACATTCAAAGCACATGTGTTCAATGCATATGAACATGTTCATGTTTATTCAGCTCACGAACCTTAAGTTCTCTCCCCCCTCCGAGACCTCGTGCTGAAGTCCTGTCGGCAAACCCTGCACATAATCTTTCAGATGAGCCAGCTCCAGAACGTTCCATATTTCCTCATCACTAAACTTCAGGAAAGGGTCCAGGTTCATCCGCAGAGTTCCAGAGAAGAGAACTGGGTCCTAGAATAAAGCGTTCGTTTATCAGCATTGCGGGACAATCTCAGATGCTGCTTTCCAAGAAATGTATTTGTTCATGATGCTTAGCATGTTTGTCACATATAAATGCGCATATCAATCCGATCGCTTTATTTAGCGTTCATGTCAACATTGCGTTTGGATTCACCAATCGGAATGATTTAATTCTGATTGAAACAAAAGGTGTGCATGTAAACGTAGCTACTAGTGCTGTGAATCTTTGAGTAGACAGCAAATCGATTCGATTCAACAATGATTTTGCAAATTTAAGCCAAGATAAGATTTATGAACAACAGCAATGCTGATATTTTTGTAATGCTAATAAAGTACATTATGATAGATACTTTGATTGTTACATCTCCCTTCAATATTTCAGCTGTAAATTAATTATAAATGTTAGCTAGATTGTTTACTACCAGTTTATGCTGAAATATAAAAATAAAGTTTTGCTTTCAAATGTCTATCACGTGTCATGATGTGTCACACAATATTTGTTTCACGAGTTAATTTGTTTTAACTCGACACCGTGCCCCATTCACAAACATCTTGTGTACTCAACGCACCTGTGGAATGATGGTAAGTCTACTCCTGAGGTCATGAAGCCCCAGGGTGGAGATGTCAATACCGTCGATGATGATTCGACCTTCACTAGCTTCAATGATGCGAAACAAACAGTTCGTCAGACTGGATTTCCCTGCACCAGTTCGACCAACAATGCCGATCTGGGAAAGTAGGGAAACAGGAAAAAAATACTATGGTTACCAACATTCTTTAAAATATCTTCTTTTGTGTTTAACAGAAGAAAGAATATGATACAGGTTTGGAACAACTTGAGGGTGAGTAAATAATGACAGAAATGTCATTTTTGGGTGAACTATCCCTCTAATTGTGTTCCATCATGTGTTAAATTGTTTAATGTGCAACTGTTCACTGCAGATAAATTCTAGAGATGACAAACTGATTTGCATTTGTTTGACCTATTCTGAAACTCAAAGTACGTTTACACAACAATGATATGCTTAAAATGGAGAAGTTTTTTCTTTAAGTTTTTCGCGTACAGACGATACCATTGTCAAAACGATCCCCATTCACTCGGATCCACAAAAACGACTAAAACGGCTGTATTCTGCTGCCAGGCCAGTAGATGGCGATGAAACACTATAGACTGAACACATAATACACTTAGGGGGGAGAGAGTGAACCAATCAGTAGTAGGGGGCGTGTCCACTCATGATGAGGGAGGAGATAGTGAACCTATCAGCAGTAGGGGGCGTGTCCACTCATCATGGGGGAGGAGATAGTGAACCAATCAGCAGTGGGGGGAGTGTCCACTCATGATGAGGGAGGAGAGAGTGAACCAATCAGCAGTAGGGGGAGTGTCCACTCATGATGAGGGAGGAGATAGTGAACCAATCAGCAGTAGGGGGCGTGTCCACTCATGATGGGGGAGGAGATACAGCACTCTGGGAACAGCCTATTTGTTCAGAAGTTTCTTTCTGTCTTACCCTCTTGCTTGAGGGTGTCCATGATGGCCTTCTGGACAGCAGTCAGGTCGGCAGTCTTACCCATGATTGCGGTTTTGAGTAATGAAACAGGCTGGGAGTTTCTAAAAGCCTAAGGAATCTTTTGCAGGTGTTTAGAATTAATTCGTTGATTCAGATGATTAGGTTAATAGCTCGTTTAGAGACCCTTTTCATGATATGCTAATTTTTTGGCTGTATGCCAAAATCATCAGTATTAAAACAATAAAAGACCTGAAATATTTCAGTTGGTGTGCAATGAATCTAAAATATATGAAAGTTTAATTTTTATCATTACATTATGGAAAATAATGAACTTTATCACAATATGCTAATTTTTTTAGAAGGACCTGTATGTTTGGACGCAGAATGTTTCCATTAGATTAGTTTGATTTTTAATGTGCTCATTTTTTACCATGAGGAGCACAAGTGTGACTATTTTTTCAGAACAAATTTAAACTTTTTGAATCCTTTTTTGGAATACTTGAATACTATTTTTTGTGGAATACTTGATGCGGCCCAGCCTGACCCAGACTCTACCTCCAGCGGCCCCCAGTTAAGTTGAGTTTGAGACCCCTGCTATAGACTGAACACATAATACACTTAGGAGGGAGAGAGTGAACCAATCAGCAGTAGGGGGCGTGTCCACTCATGATGAGGGAGGAGAGAGTGAACCAATCAGCAGTAGGGGACGTGTCCACTCATGATGGGGGAGGAGATAGTGAACCAATCTGCAGTAGGGGGAGTGTCAACTTATGATGAGGGAGGAGAGAGTGAACCAATCAGCAGTAGGGGGAGTGTCCACTCATGATGGGGGAGGAGATAGTGAACCAATCAGCAGTAGGCGGCATGTCCACTCATGATGGGGGAGGAGATAGTGAACCAATCAGCAGTAGGGGAGTGTCCACTCATGATGGGGGAGGAGAGAGAGTGAGCCAATCAGCAGTAGGGGGAGTGTCCACTCATGATGAGGGAGGAGAGAGTGAACCAATCAGCAGTAGGGGGCATGTCCACTCATGATGAGGGAGGAGAGAGTCAACCAATCAGCAGTAGGGGGCGTGTCCACTCATGATGAGGAAGGAGAGAGTGAACCAATCAGCAGTAGGGGGCGTGTCCACTCATGATGGGGGAGGAAATAGTGAACCAATCAGCAGTAGGGGGAGTGTCCACTCATGATGGGGAAGGAGAGCGAGTGAGCCAATCAGCAGTAGGGGGCGTGTCCACTCATGATGGGGGAGGAGATAGTGAACCAATCAGCAGTAGGGGGAGTGTCCACTCATGATGGGGGAGGAGATAGTGAACCAATCAGCAGTAGGGGGAGTGTCCACTCATGATGGGGGAGGAGATAGTGAACCAATCAGCAGTAGGGGGAGTGTCCACTCATGATGGGGGAGGAGATAGTGAACCAATCAGCAGTAGGGGGAGTGTCCACTCATGATGGGGGAGGAGATAGTGAACCAATCAGCAGTAGGGGGAGTGTCCACTCATGATGGAGGAGATAGTAAACCAATCAGCAGTAGGGGCGTGTCCACTCATGATGGAGGAGGAGAGAGAGTGAGCAAGAGGAGATTTAAAGAAAGACTGTAGAAAGTGATGGCTAAGAGATGTTACAATAGAGAAAAGCTCAGAGGAATATCAGAAGGGTTATGGTCAACCAAGATCTTCAGGACTCAAATTATTTATTAGAAGAGCTTTCCAGCGCTGGAGAGACCTAAGCGGGAAGGCCTGAAAACAGACACCAAGGTTACGTTGTTTCTGTTCTATACATGATAACATTGGTTTGTTTACTGTATGTTCAGTTTTTGTTCTTCCGTATCGTTCGTTCGCCATCTTTGCTTTTTTCACAAAGCATTATTTTGCTTCACTTCAGCTATGATAAAGAGACACCCTTTGGGGCTGGAGCAATGAAGGGAGGGGCGTGTTTGTTTGGGTTGATTTAAAAAATCAACAGTGTTTCTCAGAAATCGCTTACTTCACCTTTAATTTTGCATTTGAGTCATCGCTTCTTCCAAAAACCCAACTGTGTCAAACACAACCAAGGTAGATACAGAACTAGAGCCCTATAAGTCTTGTATAATAATGATCAGTGTATAATACCATTCATCACTCCATGGCATTTTCAATATAAAAAATATTAAGAATCTGATGTGTCTCCTCACCTTCTCTGTGGTTTCAATGTCACATGTGATTCCATGGAGAATGAGCTCCAATTCAGGCCGGTATCGAACTTTGTAGTTTTCAAAGCGAATTTTCCCGGCGGAGGGCCAGTCGTCAGGAGGACGATTACTGGTGATCCACGGAGCCTGGAGACACAAATATTGTAGTTGTAGTATGTAGTTTTTGGCTTGTCTATAGTTCATAATGTTTGGGAGATTAAAAAAACAATATTAGGACATTAATCCAGAAACTGACACATGAAAATGATTTTAATTCTCTACCTCATTTTTTATCTCTGTGTATTCGCTCACTCTTTCCACAGCGACGATGTTGGTCTCCAATTCTGATGTCATTCTCACAAGCCAGTTCAAAGTTTGCGTCACCTAATAAGAAGCAGTGTTACTAAATGGCAATGTTATTTGACTCACAAGCAGCTCAAAATCAAAGAAAAAATTACATTTAAGGCGTATGAGATGGACAGTCCAACCAATCCACTATTCAAAGAGTCTCGAGAGATTACAGCAAATAACGCTGAGAAAAACACCACCAGATTCCCCAGAGACTCCAACCGCATGGCCAACCACCTGAAATCCAACAAGCAACATTAGATGCTTAAGGAGCAAACACAGATTTATCTCTTGACGAAAAGCTCCGTATCTACTACCAATTCTGACCTATTAGAAACAATCCAAGGATAGACGCTTTTGAGATTCTGATCAATGGTGTCCTCATTTTGCTTTAGGAAACGCTGCTGATGCCCATACGCCCTTATCACAGAGAGGCCTGATACCGTTTCTCCAAAGTGAGAGTAAATGGGAGATCGAGACACAGAGTCCAGTCGTCTGAGTTGCCTGGATGTAGCAACATAGAACCTCTGAAATACAGGAAGTGGGTTTAGACAATTTTTTTATTATTTTACTTATGTGAGAAAAACATGTTGCCAAGTTTTTAAAAACCCAGTGTCCACAGAATACAGTTTATTTGTTTTAGCATTACTGTAAGCTGTCTTACCTGCACAAAGTAGTAGATAACAGCCATTGGTACAACAACTGCAGTGAAGATTGGAGTAGCCAGACAGATGACAAACAAGGTCCCTAGAACTCCGAGAAGACAGAGAATCCAGGATCTGAAGGACATCGGGATCATCTCATCCACAGTAAAGATATCCTAAATATAAGCCAAATCGAAAAACGAAATTTCAGTTTAAGAACAGGCAAAGTACAGCCAATCATAGGAGGAATTTTTCATTAGATTTCGTCATTTTCATAGTCTTGGGATGCGTTTACATTCCAATTAGATTGCTATGTTTATATGAATCTGTAAAATACTTTTTGAGCATAGAAAATTTAATTTCCAAATTCTAACTTCCTAAATCTTGAATGCTTTGGAGCAGTTTGGTCTCTTTTTAAAGATGACATGTGGCAGATTATTGCTGATGAAAGTAAGTTTATTGTCATGAAAATTGCACAAAAATACTTTTTAAAATTTGATAAGAAATAAATATTTTCCAAAAACATGTTGGTAACACTTGAAGACTGACATGACACATGTCATGAATATGAAGGAGGGTTTATGCATGTTTATGACAACTGTCATTAACTGTCATTTGCTCAATTATGACATTTTAATGCAAATATGACATTGTTTGAGATGTCTTTGTTATGACACCTTGACCAAAAAACCAATACATCATAAACTGCAGTGTCTTTGTCACGACAACTTGACATTACCAAGACAACACAACCTGTCATAAATATGTCATAAATATGTTTGGACGCAGAATGTTTCCATTAGATTAGTTTGATTTTTTATGTGCTCATTTTTTACCATGAGGAGCACAAAGTGTGACTATTTTTTCAGGACAAATTTAAACTTTTTTAATCATGTGTGTGTGTGTGTGTGTGTGCTCTTTGTGGAAAAAATGCTTCTTCTTTGGCATCACTGTTTAAACACCCCTTTGGACCCCTTATTTTTAAGAGTGTATAGAATGCTATAGAGCGTGTCTCTGGCCTTCATACAGACCCACTCATTATAAAACTCAATGCAATTGCATACAAAATGCAAAATGCAATGTAGATCTTTGTTTTGGCTTTATAGCAAACATCAACAAAAGTGTGTTGTTCAGTGTTAAAAGTGGGCCCATATATACCTTAGCGAAACGATTGACTACTCGTCCTGAAGGTGTGGTATCAAAGAACACCATGGGTACTTTCAGAATATTAGACAGCAGATTTGTGTGTAGAGTCCTGGACGCACATATGGATCCATCAGCTAGGAGTATAGTGCCTAAAAACACCAGAAATCCTGGCAGAGAAAGACATAACGTCACTTAGTCATAATTCATATACTTCTTTCACCGTTTTTTTTCTCTGTGAAACAAAAGACTTAAACTCTCCATGTCATCACTAAGAGCTAAAACTCTCCAAACTTCACAAGACCTATTTTCCTACATCAGATCACTCTCTATGGTCTAAACCAAGAATAGCTTTGATGATGATGCCAATATGACTGGCCTTCACTTATCATGTTCTACACCATGGCTATGACAATTGTATTATTATGCTTCTGATCATTTAATATGTAGATCATCATGACTAACAAGTATATAATATGTAATTGATGTGAACTAAATTTGGGTAACATTTATTCTTATTATAAAATTCATGACCAAATTATATCCCTGTGATAGACTGTCCATCTCTCTTCAGCCGAGAGTCTCAGAGTCTAAAGTTCACATAATGTCTGAAGAATGATGAAATGGAATCCCTTAACACTCACATAGCCAAGGAAATAAAACATTTTTAAAACGTTTAAAAATCTGGACATTTAGAACATTCAGAGAGCATTCAAAAATAACGCAAACATTTCTTAGAACATATGTTTTTCACTTCACTGTCCTCAATTAACTTCCCTACTGCATAATATCCATTCACTTACAAGTCTGTTTTCTTTCCAATCGCCAGCATTAGTCAATTCCAAACCATGTATTTTGGCTGTTTTTGAGGCTCTTAGCATGCTTAAAATTTAATGAAATTCAACACACAAATCAGAGTTAGACATTGGCAAAAGCTGCGAAAAGGCCTAAAAGGGGGGGGGGGGGGGGGGGGGGGTTTGGGGAATTGGGGGGTTTCTGTAGCGCCACCATGACAAAAGTGCTGGGGTTGGTTTTACCTACAGCCACCAAACTCTGTAGACAAATTGTTCTCATCGAGCCATAAACAGGAAGTCTGCCATTTTGGATGTAATGTGAATTTTTTCGTTGATGGGGATTCATGCAATTCTCACACACATTGGAGATGCTAATTGCGACAAGATTTTTGATATGTCAAACATTGTTGTCAAAATGTAAGCAGGAAAATTCTCATATTTTCTAAGTTCTTTATCTGGTTTAGATCAAACTGGGGATGTTTGTTTGGCCATAGAGGCTGATCACATGGATATGACTATTGTGGTCCATGGTCACAGCGCAGAGTCGCAAAGCTCATAGTCTTGCACAAAGGGACTTATTCTGTCAAACAGAGAACACTAATCTAGGCCAATCACAACGCACTAGTTCAGCGGGCCAATCAGAGCACTCTCTGCATTTCAGAAGGTGTAAGTGGGGCTTTGTAGAAATCAGCTCGTTTCAGACAGACTGGAAATAGAGGTGCTGCAATAATGTACAGTATGTAAAGAAAGTATGTGTTTTTTGCACAAAAGCATGTTAACCTATTCTAGTACACCCAAAATAATGAACTAGCCTCTTTAAATCACAAAAATATCATGTCCTCGATTTCATTCTGTTTGTAAAAGTATTTATTAAACCTCTTTCTGCTCATACCTTGTGCAATTCCCAGGGCTCCAAAGACACCTATTCTCGTGTCTCTAATATGATTCGGGTAGGTTGTGTTGAAATAATCTACGGCATCATTAGTCCAGTCACTGAGCCACAGATTTTGACCAATGATGGCCACATTCTGGATGAAGTAGATGAGGAAACTCCAGGTGACGTAACACCATCCCATCGCCCTCAGATACTGAAGATACACTGAGAACTTCACCTGTACATGGATCAAAAAATAATTTACACAATTACTGAGGGGGAAAATAGATGACAAAACATGGAGAATCAAAATAGCTTATTATGTACCCTTCCGGTCTCCATTGTCTCTTTCTCAATCAGTCGCTGTCCTTTCTTATCGTCTGAGTCTTTTTTACTTCGAAGAGAGCTGTTCTTCCTTACTCTCACACTAAAGACAAAAAATATAAATATAAATCTTGGTGAACACAAAACAAAGTCTGTTGTTGCATTTTAGTTGCATTTGTGAAGATCATGATGACGATAGAGTGCATTAGTGCGACGACTTGCACTCTATACTTGCTCACGTGGGGCAGGATTCAGTTTATCTGTGTGAAATAGTGCATGTCTGGAGTAAAATCTTTTGTTGTTCTAACATGTCTCTCGATGGTGTGTTTGGTTTACCTTCCGTTCCGTTGAGAGTGACGGAGGCTGTTTTCTCTCTTTAGTGTGTTTGAGACGATGTCCTCTGGAGAGCTGTCGGCCTGAGGCTCCAAACCCTCCGGCAGGGTGTCGATATCTTCATAGTCGGACCCCCGAGCTGCTGCTGTTTGACCACACAATTACAATCAATCACATCGTTTATGTGCATGAAGACTTGTGCACATGTGTTTTGATGCAAGTAGTGCAAAAACATACTGCATTTCTTTGTTTAATTTCATTTACTTGTTTCTAAGTAATGCTTTAGAGATCATTTATTGTTCATGCATCCCAAATCTATGAACACACACAACATTTCAAAAATATATTTTTGAAAGAAATTAATACTTTTATTCAGCAAGGATGCATTCAATTGATCAAAAGTGGCAGTAAAGACATTTATAATGTTATAAAAAGTAGCTTAATTAAAAATTAGTTAAAACTAAATCAATAGAATTGTCACAACCACCAGCTGGAGTGCCCATGATCTCCACCAGAGGGCGCTCCTTCCATCTGCTTTATCACATCATGGACTGCATTTCCCATAAACCATTGCCTGGACTCATCATGTTCTGATTACTTCCACCTGTGTGTTATTATCCCATTTACTCTTGTCTATTGAAGCCCTGTGTTTTCAGTCATTCTTTGCGAAGTCTTGTATGTTGTTACACTGTATTTCTGAGCGTTTTCCTGGTTTCCTGTGTCTTGTTTTTTTAATTTTATGCCTGTTTTCTGTATTTCCTTTTGTCTGTGTTTTCTGCCCTGTTGCTCATTTGGGTTGTTTGACCCTTTGTCGTTATATTGATTACGATTCTGGACTGTCCCAATAAAGCTGCCTTTGGATCTTCAACCCAAGTCTCGGAGCAGTTTGTAACAAAATGTAATGTAAGGTAAATGTGTCTGTTGCACTCCGCTTGACAGATTCAGGCATTCACAATCAGAATAGCATGAGGAAAGGGTTACTTCAATGGTCAACTTCAGACATTCTACTAACTGTGAGTAACTTTGCAACTACAAGTCAACTAACTCTGAAGTTGACTTGTAGTTGCAAAGTTACTTATAGCTAGTAGAATGTCTAAAGTGGACCATCGAAATAAAGTGTTACTGAGGAAAGACCACTCGCACCAAGATATAAAGCATGAATCATGTAGACATTGCAAGTCCTGTACTAAAACTTTCAGAATGTGTTCAGATGGCTATTTTAGAATTCAGGACAATATCTGAAGCTCAGCAGGAAATGCAAATGTTCGATGGTAGACAAACCTTTATTGCCATTAGCATTGTTTTCCTCTTTGCCGTAAGTTTCCATGAATTCATTGAAAGCGCCTTTACTGGCTCGAAGAGCGTCGTATGATCCCACCTCGGACACAACCCCATTCACCAACACCACAATCTCATCTACAAACGGCAAGAAGCTAATCCCGTGTGTCACCAGGATACGAGTCTACAAGGAAAGAGAAGGGGAAAAAAATGAACAGCAATGCAGAAATTTAAGTCAAGCAGAAAATGTGCATTTGACATGTATAATAATATAGTGAGTATCCCAGCTATTTGTTAAAGTTAAGTTACATTAAGTTAATTAAGTTATTAACACTCAAAATGTTTTAAAAACGTTTTTCCTTGGTTGAATGGGGAATATTGCGTTTCATCATTCTTCAAACATTTTTGTGAATGTTACTTTTGAATTTTTTCTGAAAGTTCTGAAACAAGTAGTAACATTTATGTTTCTGAAATAAAACCATACATGAATGATTTATAAATAACTTCTTGTGCTAATGTTTTGAGACCAGATAACTTTGAACAGAAGTTCTATTAAAGGATTAGGTCTCTTCAGAATTAAAATTTCCTGATAATTTACTCTCCCCCACATCATCCAAGATGTTCATGTCTTTCTTTCATACTTTTTGGTTAAAAAGTATATATTATGTATTTGTTATAAAATGTCCACTGGTTTGTCTAGATGAGACTCTTATTCCTCGGCTGGATCGTGTCGAGACTTTGAAGCTGCACTGAAACTCACATCTGGACCTTCGACCCGTTGGACCCCATTAAACTCACTATATGGAGAACAATCCTGGAGTGTTTTTTTTAAAAACCTTCATTTCTTTTCCACTGAAGAAAGAAAGACATGAACATCTTGGAGGACGTGGGGGAGAGTAAATTATCAGGACATTTTAATTCTGAAGTGAACTAATCCTTCAATGTTACTGGAAGAACGTTTGTTCATAACTTTCTCAGAACTAAAGTTCTAGCCTAAACAAAATATGACAGAAAATAAAGCAGTGAAATTAGCCTATAATTTGTAAGCTTTTTAGCCTTGGATTAGATATTTTTTTTCAAGAAACTATGGCAGCCTGAGTATTGACTTTGACATTAGTCTCCTACCTTATTTCTGAGCAGTCCTTTGGGTCCGATCACCCGTTCAAACAGATGTTTTCCCACATGTGAGTCGACAGCAGACAGCGGGTCATCCAGAAGGAACACGTCAGCGGAGCTGTAAACCGCCCGGGCCAAACTCACCCGCTGTTTCTGTCCGCCGCTCAGATTGATGCCCTGAGGCACAGCAGATCACACATCAAACATTCAAAGTCAGTGTTTCCCAACCCCGTTCCCGTTCCACACATGTGTGAACTCTTCCTGGGTGAGAGAATAAGCCGTGGAAATGCCTAAATACAGTGAATATGCACTATTGCAGTTGCATTGTCAGGACCAACAGCCAGTGGTGTAAAGTATTGGAGTGGTGTTATTGGTAACTGTATTTAAAGTCCCCCTGGGGTGGAAATCCAGCTTTTAATGTTGTTTATGTGTATATAGCCGCGTTTCCACCGCAGGATCTAGGGACTTTGGGCTGGTACTCGGTGTGTTTACACCGCAGGGTCTACATGAAGTTCCGGGTAAATATTTCCCCCTCAGAAATTTTATCAAAGTTCAGGAACTTTCAGAGGGGGGACTTGGGCGCTGAACATGCTGATTGGTCGAGTTCATGCCGCATTTTATTTCAACCACCATGGTGCATGCAGAAACAGTTGTTTGCTATTCGAATCAACAATGGAGTTGCGGCCGATGGACGACAAGGTTCAGGGTTTATTAAGCTTAAATTCAGATGGTGAAATCCAGCCGGAACTGTAAAGTAGTGCGCGTCACCGTACTAATTTGCCTAATCTTCACGGTACATTAGACCGCGGTGGAAACGCAGACAGCAACAGGTCTGGGGGAAAAGAAGTCCCTGGGACAAATTGATCCAGGTAATTTCGGTGGAAACGCGACTAAAGTGGTGTTTTTAATATGCTTTAAGACAAACCATGTGTAAATTCATAAGTCGACAGCATTGCTGAGAATTTTCTCCTTAAAACTGTAGTGAACCAAAGACAGTCTGTTGATTTGGCTTTCAATATAAATGAGGTTCCCATTTGATTAAGTGCATGATCAAATAAGAACATTCTGGGAAACGTTCTCTCTTGGTTCTTATTGTAAAAAAAGCTAACCTTCCCAGAACGTTGCAGGGAGGTTGTGTGACAACCAAAAGCAAACTTATGCAGAACATTCCCTGCCGGTTTTATTTTTATAACCTTATAATCATGCCTACATCCACCACTGAATATGCCAACTGTGACTTTTCATCCTATTTTAAGGATCTAAGCTCATGGTCTAAAGCTCACAGCACAAGTGCACTTAGGTCGGCTCGAATACACTTTTGCTAGTTTAACGACAGGATAGATGGTCGGCACGCAGAGCATGGTCTAAAAGGGTTGTCCTTTATTCTCTTAATGAGTAATGGGTGTGTTTTGGGCTTAATAAATGAAATGAAAACTGCGTCGGGCTGAAAGTGAAACTGGCAGACACACTTGCGTCGCGCCTGGCGCTGCATTGCACCGGGTGTATGATACGGCCCTAAATGTTTGCCAGTCTCAGTTTTCTGATATGTAAAGACTCAAGGACTGACGGTGGGGAAGCAGTGCTCTTCACCTTCTCTCCGATCTCGGTCTGATCTCTCCCGGGCAGCAGGTCCAGGTCAGGCCCGAGAGCACAGGCCTCCACCGCGGACCGGTACCGTTCTTCATCCAGCTCAGAGCCGAAGAGGACATTATCCTTCAGTGAGGCGTTCTGGATCCAGGCCTGCTGAGGGACATACGCCACCGACCCCTGAGACACACACACACACACACAAAACTAATGTCAAGCGGCAGAGAAACACACACCACTAACGTCCAGTCGGAAGAGAAGAGTTACAGTAATCGTTCGTAATAAGATGCGTTTGATTACGTTTATATTAATGTTTCCCTTGAGGCAGTGCAGTTCTCCCAGCAGAGCCGATATCAGTGAACTCTTCCCCGATCCCACAGCTCCCACCACTGCCACCAGACGACCCGGGGTAATGTCCAGAGACACACTGAACAACACACACATCGATTAAGATCCAGAGTGAAAACCGCTAGATAGAACACACACACACACACACACACACACTCACACTCACACTCACACTCACACACACATGCAAACACACACATGCAAACACACACACAAACACACATACACACATACACACACACTCCCCCACACACACTCATGCAAACACACACACTGCCTTTTAAAACGGCTGGCTAATGCTAATCGTAAATTCTCTAAGATTATTATTCACGTCGGCACTAATGATGTTCACCTCCGCCAGAATTATCACCAAAATTAACGTTAAAGATGTGTGTGAACTCGCAAGTACGATGATAGGCACTGTAATTTGCTCTGTCCGCCTTCCCGTTCGCCGGAGTGATGAGATAGTTAGTAGACTGTGCTCACTCAATGGCTGGCTGTCTAAGTGGTGTCTGCAGAATAATATAGGGTTCATAGACAATTGGAAAAGTTTTTGGGGCAGACCTGACCTGTTGAAAAGACATGGTATTCCTTCTCTCTAGTAATGTAGCATTGGAGATTCTAATAAGATAATAATTGAATAATGATTCATAATAAGAATTAGAGATTCTAATTATTGGACAAAAAACTTCCTCACGTAATAACCCAGAATACTGTCTAACACTTGATGGCTGCTCTGTCAAGTCTTCGGTTAGGAACCTGTGTGTGTGTGTGTGTGTGTGTGTGTGTGTGTGTGTGTGTGTGTGTGTTTGCGCTCTTTGATAGCAATCTTTCATTTGAAAGTCACGTGTCTAGTATCTGTAAAACCGCATTTTTCCATCTTAAGAATATATCTAAATTACATCATTTGCTCTCAGTGACAAATGCGGAACAATTAGTTCATGCGTTCATGACATCAAGGCTAGATTACTGTAATGCTCTACTGGGTGGTTGCCCTACACGCTTAATAAACAAACTACAGCTAGTTCAAAACGCAGCAGCTCGAGTTCTTACCAAAACCAGGAAGTATGACCATATTAGCCCGGTTCTGTCAACACTGCATTGGCTCCCTATTAAACATCTACGCTAATGTTAGTCTTTCTGTTTATTCCGAGGTTTACAGCCGAATACGGGCCGTATCCAAATCAGATGGAGGACCTGCGCCTGGACACGACCACAACGCATCCCTGAAGTGTCAGCAGAGCTTGTGTGATCTAGACTCTCCCCTGTAAGGCCTCATCGACACGACAGCCATCGGCACTGATCCTCAACAAACTCGTCTATATACCGGCGTGACTCCGATCTTCAACCAGAGGGAACTGGATAATATTCTGAATGTTCCAATCCAATCTTCTTCCAAACTTCTGACCTATAATGCTGACGGAATCATAATCATACACTTTTTTTCTCCATTCTGTCACTGATGGAGTTTTGGTTCCTCGCCCCTGTCGCCTTTTTTCGCCTTTGTCCCCATTTGCTTTTGGCTTGTTTAGTTGGGGACATTTAATTTAATATTCAACAATATTATTGATCTGCCTGCATTGACACCATTATATGAGAACTAAACTGAGCTGGACGATAACACACACACACATGCAAACACACACACACACATGCAAACACACACACACACACACACACACACACACACATACACACACACACACACACACACACTCACACAAACACACACACACACACTCACACACACCAGAATAATCCTAAATCACGATTTATTCATCATTGTAGCATCTGTTTTATACTGTAATAGTGTAAAGATATAGTGAGTGAAAGGGCAAAACTCACTGTTTCAGCACTGGTTCTGTTTCTCTTTCCCAGGAAAACGTGCCATCGGTCATGCTCACCGCAGCTTCTATTAATCACATCAGCACAAAAACATTATCTATACATCAGTCTTTTTTTCTGAAATGTAATAGTTGGATCACAGATAAGAAAAATATGTTCTAATAATGTTCTGATAACGCTCTCATTAAGTTATGGAAACATTCTGGTAACACTTTACTTGAAGGGGTGTGCATAAGACTGACATGACACCTTCATAATCATGACATGACACATGTCAAGAATATGAAGGAGGTTTTATCCATGTTTATGACAATTTATGTTGTCTTGGTAATGTCAAGTTGTCTTGACAAAGACACTGACAGGTTATGATGTATTGGTTAATGTCAAGTTGTCATAACAAAGACATCTCAAACTTATGTCATATTTGCATTAAAAATGTCATAATTGAGCGAATGACAATTAATGACAGTTGTCATACACATGCATAAACCCTCCTTCATATTCATTACATGTGTGTTTAAGAAGGTGTCATGTCAGACTTATGCACACCCCTTCAAGTAAAGTGTTACCAGAACGGTATTAAAAACCAGATAACTTTGAAAGAACGTTCTATTAACGTTCCTGGAAGAACAATTGTTCATAACTTTGAGAAATGTTACTACTCATTTTAGAACGTTCAGAGAACATTTAAAAGTAGCGTTCCCATAATGTTTGAAGAATGATACAATGTAATGTTCCCTTAAAGTCCCCCTGTGGTGAAAATCCAGCTTTTAACGTTGTGTATGTGTCTATGTGGTGTTTTTAATATGCTTTAAGACACACCATGTGTAAGTTCATAAGTCGACAGCATTGCTGAGTATTTTCTGCTTTAAACTGCAGTGAACCAAAGACAGTCTCAAAAACTGATCAGATCAATGTGTGATCGTCAACCAGTGGATCTCTGAGCTGAGTGAGTGAGTGGAGGCGGGGCATATTTGCATATTCATAGAACCACGCATGCTAAATGAGGCGAGGGTGTCGAGTTACATTCAAGATATTTTAAGACGAAGACATTTTTTCAAGGAAAAAATGCTTAAATATGTCATTTTGGTGATTAAATATGTCATTTTGGTGATTAAAGATGAGTTTTAATTGATGTAATTATTTACTACAGGGGCACTTTAACTTTTGTATAATTAAGAAAAAACATTTTTAAAACATTTTTGTTTTTTGAACATTTAGAAACCATTCAGAAATAACATTTTCATAACCATGTGAACGTTAGCAAAACATTCTTAGAACGTAATATGTTGGCTGGAAACTTGGACTTGAACAAATTATTATGAGTACGGCAGCTTTTCTAAAACCATCAGAATCAGCTAGAATCCTGAAAAGAGTTCCCGACTCACTGTTGCTGTCGTCATGCTTTATCGCCGTCGTGTCCAGATCACTCCCACTCAGAAACTTCTCAAGTCTTTTCTTAGATACAGTGGTCTGAACATGGGAAAAAGTATTGTTAGATTTCGAACAAGGTCAAAAATACTTTTATAACCGCAAACAAAGCTTATTGAAAGGTAGCAATAAAATGCTTCGGTAACACTTTACAATAAGGTTCATTAGTTAACATTAGTTTATCTATTAACTAACATGAACTAACAGTGAGCAATACATTTGTTACAATATTTATTAATCATTGTTAATGTTAGTTAATAAAAATACAACTGTTCGTTGTTTGTTCATGTTAGTTCACAGTGCATTAACTAATGTTAACAATATTTTAATCAAGTATTAGTAAATGTTGAAATTAACATTAACAAAGATTAATAAATGCTGTATACCTGCAGTTCAGTATTAGTTCATGCTATCTAATGTATTTAACTAATGCTAACTAACAAACCTTATTGTAAAGTGTTCCCAATGCTTCCGTATAGATAACCATATAAATATATACACTGTAAAAATTATATGATCAATAAGTAATGACAACATATGTTTTTACATTGGTTTAACTCATCAAAATAAGTTAAAGTTATACAAGATTCAACAATGTATTTTGAGTTGAAATTACTTAAACATTCAAGTTGATTGTACTTGAAATAAATTTAAGGCAGCAACTTTTTTTTTACATTGTACACTGTAAAAAGTGTTCAGTTCACTAACTTAAAGAAAATTGGTGAACACGTTGCCTTAAAATTATTAAGTAGATAAACTTAATGCTTAATTGAACAAATTAAGTTATCTGAACTTGACAATTCCACATTACTTAATTTTTTCGATTAAGCATGGAGTTATTTACTTAATAATTTTACTATATAATTTTAAGGCAACGTGTTTGCTAAAAAATGTTAAGTTAAGTCAACTGATCACTTTTAGGGTGTAATAATAGCTTGATAGCGCAGTACCTGAACCATGATGGAGATCAGCTGTGGAAGCATGGCGAGTGGGAAGCGCAGTATGTTGAAGAGCGAGATCGAGGTGAAAGCTTTCTCTGCATCCAAGATGTTATCCGGACTCACAGACACGAACACAGCGAAGGTGGCGAGAGAAACCTGAAGATGACCCCACATGACCTCAGTGTCTATCAGGGGGTGCTTGCTTTCTGACATTCATTCATTAAGGATTTCAAAAGGTTTTTAACTTTGCTGTCAATCCACTGTTGACTGAGTGGTAACACTTTATAACACTGTTCCTTCATTAATGAATAACTAAACGAGTAACGCACTATTAACACTCTAGTAACTGCTATTAACTAACAAGAAACTCAGATTAATGAATTAGTAAGTAATAGCGCTAAGATGAATGTGGAAGTTCACTATTAGATAATCAATAACTGCTATTTTGTGTAGTCCTGTGTAGTTATTCATTAAAGGGGTGGTATAATGCCCTTTTCACAAGATGTAAAATACATCTCTGATGTCCCCAGAGTCTGTATGTGAAGTTTTAGCTCAAAATACCCCACAGATATTTTTATATAGCATGTTAAAGTTGTCACTTTTTGAGGGTTAGCAAAAACGCACCGTTTTGTGTCTGGCCCTTTAAATGCAAATGAGCTGCAGCTCCCGACACAGTGGGCGGAGCTTCAAGAGTGTGTGTGTTAGCAGCTCTCGCAGCTATTACCTCACGCAGACACACGCTAAAATGTCAGAAACTGTTCTGCCTTTTATGTTTAAACCGGAGTCAGACAAAGATGGAGAGACTAAGAAGAAGTGACAACATGTAGAAGCAACAGGACATCTCTAAATGGTTAGTTAATGAGTTTATGCAGCTGATGTGGAGTTAACTATCTTCAATTAGCATATTCTGTCAGGATAATCTATAAATCGCTTGTATAGGAACTGTTGTGAGACGCACACAGTGTGACTACAACAGCTCTTCCTCTTCTCAACATGGACTGCGTTCCCGGGGGCGGGGCTTATGTAAATTTTAGGGTTAGTGATGTCACTAACCCGGGAGGAAGCTTGTGTAGTTCCTACCGGCCGTTTGTTGTAGTCCTTAAAAAAACGATTTCTTTAAAAGCAAATATCTCCCTTTGCTTTGAACTTTGAGCATTGTAACTTTGCAGATGTTGTTTCTGCTCAAACAGCAACATTACACACTAACTAAAGCTAGAAAAGTGAAATCATAATCAACCACCCCTTTAATGAAGGAACAGTGTTATAAAGTGTTGCCGACTGAGGGGTACCTTGAAATAGAAAATCATACTGTATATAAAACATTATTATACTCACAAGAGCTGGAGCGCATGAAAATATGAATGTGGAGACAGAAGAGAGGTAGGCAAACTTCCTCATCACCTTCAGCTCCTTTTCTCGAATCCCCTGAACCTGAGACTCAAAAGAGGATTCCCAGGCGTAATACTTGAGGATCTACCACACAGATAACAAAGAAATGAGAAGATACACGTAAAAAAAACATATTTTCATGTGTCCTGTGTGATAGAGGAGTGTAGGAAACCACTTACTTTGATCCCATTCAATATGTCATTCACAATTTTCATGCGTGAGTCTTTAAATTTCATGTTTTCCACCTGAAAAGAAGCATGTGGCGTTTAGTGGATAATGATGCAGTACATTATATTTCTATTGTGTTTTCGGTAACACTTTCTATAAATGTCACTGTAACTATAATATAATAGCATTATAGCAATGCAGGCTGCATCTTTACAAATACATTCATGGAACCGTACGACTGACTAATTAATACTTATAAATCAGTGTATAATGGATTATGATGCGCATTGAAAAAGCAAATGCATGACTTAGAAGTAATTATAAAAATAATAATAATTAAAGCTGCTAGCAGCATTTAGCGGTGTTCAAGCATTTAAGCCCTTATAGCACATAAGCATTAAAGACATTTAGCAAGCATGTAACCACTGACATAATAGATGGAAAACCATTTACCATGATTCTAGCATGATTTACCATAGGTTTACCATGATTTACCATAGTTTTACCATGCTTTACCATAGTTTTACCATGATTTACCATGTTCTAGTATGATTTACCATGAATCTAGCATGATTTACCATAGTTTTACCATGATATTCCATGTTCTAGTATGCTTTACATAATTTACCCTGTTCTAGCATGATTTACCATAGTTTACCATGATTTACCATGTTCTAGTATGATTTACCATGCATCTAGCATGATTTACCATAGTTTACCATGATTTACCAGATTCTAGTATGATTTACCATGTTCTAGGATGATTTATCATAGAGTACCGTGATTCTAGCATGATTTACCTTAGTTTATCATGATTTACCATAGTTTACCATGATTGACTACAGTTTCCAATAGTTTACCTTGATTTACCATGTTCTAGCATGATTTACCATAAATCTAGCATGATTTACCATAGTTTAACATGATTTACCATAGTTTACCATGATTTACCATGTTCTATGATGATTTACTATGATTGTAGCATGATTTACCATAGTTTACCATGATTTACCATGTTCTAGGATGATTTACCATAGAGTACCGTGATTCTAGCATGATTTACCTTAGTATATCATGATTTATCATAGTTTACCATGATTTACCATGTTCTACTAGCCTGGGAAAACCCAGACAACTTCCGGCAAATTTAGATTTGCTCTGAAAGTTAGTCTGGCAAAGAGCTCATTCAAACTCATTTCCAATCCGCCGAAATCAAGGCACCAATCAGAAACGTTGGGGCGGGCTTTACACGATGACGACAGCGCTGGGATTTTGAAGCAGATTTTGTAGCCTACATTACAAAGATGGATGCCGCCGTCGAACATCACTCGGTCGAATCAGCTATCGCGTCTGTTTTAAGCGATTTGAACCTTCCCTTTTGTTAAAAACCGAGCAAAAAACAACACTCAGAGATGTTTCTGCCGCTCTGCATACGTCATCTCCTTCATCGCTCTGATTGGGTTTAGGTCTATTCGCGACGTCCGTTGGTGACGCCCCTCTGGAAATGATTTGTCTATGACGCTTTGCCAGACCATAACTCAGTTACAACTGAGATGGTCTGGTTTTAACCAGGCTAATGTTCTACCACAGTTTACCATGATTTACCACATTGCTAGCATTGATGTGAAGTGTCAGTACAAATGAAGTGATACACTCTGACAAAATATGATTGTGTTATAATAGTAATTGTTATATAATGGATTTTATAGTAAGCATGGATAATGCAGTTAACATGGAAAAACTGGTTTGCTTTAGTGCAGAATCCTGTTGAAACTCAAGGCTGTTAAAATGAAAGTGAGCCAATAAGTGGTCTTCTACTGCCCTCTGCTGGCCACTCTACTTATTAATAAAGTCTTTTCACATGTGCTTTTGCATTCATATCTAGACAAACACACACACACAAGTCATTATGAAAATATATGAAATGCTTATAGACCATTAAAATATATGTCTTTGCAAGCTTTTAATCAGATTATTCAGGATTTATCCAGAAACATGGGACTACACACACATTCTGTTGTAGATAAAGTGATTTGAACTTTGTCTCATTCAGGATTAACATTTGTCCGTGACACAATGGTCAATAGTAATACTTCAATAGATGAATTTGGACAAAATGGTGATTTTATAAAGTCTAAATAAGAATTACAGAAAATTATTAGTTAGTAGCATGACAAAATGACTATTTTAAACAGCAGGGGCCAGTAGAATACCACTTACTGGCTTAATATGCCATTATGTTATAATTTTCACCTTTTTAACTGTTATAGATGCATTATTTCTTATCTTATTTAGAGTCACATGTTCTGACTTGTTTTTAAGAAGATCTGAGCATTCATTGAAGAGATATAGGCTTTCTTGGTCAAGGCTACATATTGAAGTGACCCTATTATAGCCATCCAAATGAAGAAGTTATATCAGAAGTTATATACATCTTGTCCATCTTGATTCTAGGTCAAACGGTCTAGGGGTTATGAGCAATTTAGTACTTTTGGTTGCTGTAGCGCCACCTATGGGCCAATCGGGGTCATAGTCTGATAGGTTCTCCCCAAACTGAGGCCCTACCACCTGGCCAGGTTTCAAGTCTCTAGGCCTTACGGTTTGGGCTTCACGATGCGTTTTAGGGGATTTTTTTTCCCCAAAAATCCTTACAATTAGAATAGGTTTTCAGCACTTCGTGCTTGAACACCTAAAAATCGGTACAAATACAATAGGTTTTCAGCACTTCGTGCTTGAACACCTAAAAATCCTTACAATTACAATAGGTTTTCAGCACTTCGTGCTTGAACACCTAATAAGAATGAGACCTTTTTGACGGTTATAGCGCCACCTATGGTCCGATCAGGCAAAAAACCAGGGACTAGTTCGCAAAAGTAGGTTTTGGACAAAAATTTTTTTTGCTCAAATCGACAATCCGAGATATACATCTTGTCCGTCTTGATTTTAGGTCAAACGGTTGAGGAGTTATGGCCAATTTAGTACTTTTGGTCGCTGTAGCGCCACCTATGGGCCAATCGGGCTCATACTTTGATAACCTCTCCTCGATTTTTGTGCTACCTTAATCCCAAATATCAAGTCTCTAGCTCTTACGGTTTGGTCTGCACGATGCGTTTTACGGCAGAAGAATAATAATAAAAATCCTTACAATTACAATAGGTTTTCAGCACTTCGTGCTTGAACACCTAACTATAACTGTTCTTATAATGCCGTATAGGTATTATTGAGTCTTTATAAATATATGTATAATACAGACTTATAAATAACTATAAATGGATCTATAATTCATTATAAGGATGGGCTTCATAGAAAGTGTCACCGTGTTTTCTTTTGTCTTTCCTAACACAAGAGTGATGGTTGGTGAAGCGTGATCACCTGGAAGGCCCTGGATTTGGTGGCCAGCCAGCCGTTAATGGGAACCATCAGCACCATCACCAACAGGCCCGCCAGCACAGACGGGCCCAGCTCGATCCAGAGGAAGGCGATGGACAGGGCGATCTGCAGCGGACACGACCACAGCAGATGAATGAAGTTTGTGACGTCGTTGAACCTTTGAGCATCCGCTGACATCAGGTTCACGATCTCCCCAGCGGTCGACTCTTTCCTAGAGTCGTTAGATACAACTAATGCCTGAGGGGAATCACAAAATCATCCACTGGTTATGATTAGACTGTTAAAATGCCCCTCGTATGCTATTCTAATGTTGTTTCAGAGTCTCCTACAACAGGTTTAAACACATCTAAGGTCAAAAACACTTTATTTAACTCATAATCTCCACTGCAGCATCAGCTCTTTTCTCTCAGTGTCTGAAATGCTCCGATAAAGATTCAGTCTCTCTAAACCCCGCCTCTCTGAGAGCTGCTCTGCTCTGATTGGTCAGAAAGCAAACGCTCATTATCATATCTGAATCTCAGCTCTTGATCACAGTGATACGAACAGTAACGATGGCGAGGGTTTTACCGTATCAATCTCATCACAGTGGATTTGGTTTGTGAGCAAAAAACGTCTCTGGTTACTGGTGTAACCTATGTTCTCTGAATAGGGAACGAGACGCTGCGTAGCTTAAGACGCAGTGGGAACGCCCTCTGGGTGTGCCGATTGTCTGAAGCCCTTATAGAATCACGCCAATTCATTGGCTGATGGCGCAGGCGCCGCCCCGACGCTCTTGCATCGTCATATTATATTAGCGCGGGCCATCTGCTCCTAAGATTTCTCTGCCGAAAAAGGAAGCTTGTCGGCAGCGCAAGGAGCTTGGCAGCGAACGCAGCGTCTCGTTCCCCATTCAGAGAACATAGGTTACACCAGTAACCAGAGACGTTCTCTTTCATCGGTTCACTCAACGCTGCGTAGCTTAAGACGCAGTGGGAATGAAATACCAAACTCGCCAAGCTAAGCGCTGCCGTAACTAGTACAAGACCAGATAGCTCACACGACTGGTTCAAGCATTCAAAACCTGGGAACCTGGAGTCGTGTCAAGATCCAAACTGTAGAATCTGACAAAAGTGTGCGGAGAGGACCATCCTGCCGCCACACAAATATCCTCCAGGAGGGCAACTCTAAAGACGGCCTGAGAGGAAGCCACGCCCCTGGTGGAATGTGCTCTGATGCTAAGAGGTGAAGGTAGACTGCACACCTCATAAGCCAGTGAAATAGCTTCTGTAACCCAGTGGGAAATTCTCTGCTTTGATGCGGCAAGCCCGCGGCGCCCAGCACCAAAACATACCAAGAGCTGGTTGGATTTTCTCCAACCACCAGAGCGATCCACATATAACTTCAATGCCCGGACCGGGCAGAGCAAGTTAAGCTTTCTGTCTTCCTCAGAGACAAAAGGAGGAGGATGGAAAGAGCGAAGGTTAACAACCTGAGACCGGAAAGCTGTGGACAAAACTTTGGGCACATATCCTGGTTTCGGTCTCAAAGTCACTCTGACCAAGCCAGGAGCGAAATCAATACATGACGCGCTAACAGAAAGAGCTTGCAAATCCCCCACCCGCTTCAAAGAGGCCAAGGCTAACAAAAGAGTAACCTTGAGAGTCAAAATCCGCTCTGGAGCTGACTCTAAGGGCTCCGTTAAGCCCTCCAGGACGACCGACAGGTCCCTGGAGGGGATTCCAGGGGAGCATACTGCTTCAGGCGCCTAACCCCACGCATAAAAGCTGAGACTAACCTCAACTTGCCCAGGGGGATCTCATCCGATTCTCTATGAGCAGCAATAGCGGCAACGTACACTCTCAAAGTAGTAGCAGCCGCTCCAGAAGCAAACTTCTCCTGTAGGAATTCCAGCACTGGACCGACTGGGCAGTTGACTGGGTCTATAGCGTGTGCCGAACACCACGATTAAAAAAAAAAACATTTAGAAGAATACAACTTTCTCGTGGAGGGGGCTCTCGCATTCGCAATGGTCTCCTGTACGGGAAGACCAAAGTTTAAAGCTAACGGCCCCTGATGGGCCACACGCATAACTTCCAAATTTCGGGGCGAGGATGCCATATCCTGCTCTGAAGCTGGGACAGCAGATCCTCCCTGACTGGAATCTCCCAAGGGGGGAGTTCCAGGAGAGGAACCAGCTCTGAGAACCACGGCTGGGATGGCCAGAATGGGGCTATAAGTAGGAGACGAGCTCCGCTCTCCCTAACTCTGGACAGAACTGCCTGGATTAATTTTACAGGCGGGAATGCATATAGCCTCCGCATCGGCCATTGGTGGGCGAATGCATCTATCCCCAGTGGTGCTGGGGGGCTCAGGGAGAACCAAAGTGGGCATTGGGATGACTCCTGAGATGCAAAAAGGCCCACTTCTGCATTCCGAACACTTCCCAGATCAGGGCTACTGTTCGGCGGTTCAACATCCATTCCCCTGACCTGAGTTTCTGCCTCGACAGAAAATCTGCTGCGAGGTTCAGGACCCCCGGAACATGGACTGCCCTCAGGGACAGGAATTTGTCCTGAGACCATAGGAGAAGGCGGCGTGCATGCCTGTCCAGGGTACGCGACCGTGAACCCCCCTGTCGGTTTACATGAGACACCACCGCCATATTGTCTGTTCTGACAATGACATGCTGCCCTTTGAGAAAGGGGAGAAAGTGAAGGAGGGCCAGGGAAACAGCTCTCAGCTCCAAGCTGTTTATGTGCCAATCGAGAGTCTCTCCAGTCCACACCCCACATGCTGGCCTGCCCTCGAAAACCGCACCCCATCCAGTTAGAGAGGCATCCGTCGTAATCATTTGGCGACTGAAAACTGCACCCATGCTTTCACCCACCATTCTGAAGGAAAAGAGGGTCCCGCCAAATTGAAAGCGCACGGAAGCAACTGCGCGACACCTTCAACAGGCGAAAAACCGGTCCTGTGGACCGGGCACCTGAGAGTTTCATCCATCACAGAAACGGTCTCATGTGGAGCAACCCTAGGGGGAGCACGGGGGATGCTGCGGCCATGAGACCCAGCAGCCTGCGACAAGTGCCCACAGAAACATGATGGCCGAGCGTGAAGCGGGCCAAACATGTCAGAAGACTGGAAATCCGGGCAGGAGCCAAGCGGGCCTGCATCAGAACGGAATCCAGGCGCACCCCTAAGAAGACTGTGCATAGAGCTGGGGCAAGAACACTCTTCTCTGTGTTCAACCTCAGGCCGAGAGACTGAATGTGACGAAGGACAATGTCCCTGTGGTGAGTCACTAATTCCCTGGAGTTGGCTAAAAGGAGCCAATCGTCCAGGTAATTGAGTATACGGATGCCCTGGAGTCGCAACGGGGCCAGAGCAGCATCCATACACTTTGTAAACGTTCTCGGTGCTAGAGCGAGACCAAAGGGGAGGACCCTGTACTGGTATGCTTTCTCTCCAAAGGCGAACCTGAGGAACCTCCTGTGTCGCCGTACGACCTGAATATGAAAATACGCATCCTTCAGGTCTACTGTCACGAACCAGTCCCCTGCCCGAATCTGATATATGATAGCTTTTAGCGTCAACATCTTGAATTTCCCTTTGTAAGAGAGAAATTCAGCCGGCGCAGGTCTAGTATCGGTCGCAGACCTCCACCCTTTTTCGGGACCAAGAAGTAGCGGCTGAAGAAGCCTTGCTTGACTTCCTTCGGAGGAACCTCTTCTATAGCTCCCTTGAGGAGAAGGGACGAAATCTCCCGTTGTAGAACAGAAGCCTCTGAGGCGCTGTTGACTACGGTTGGACAGACCCCGTTGAAGCAAGGGGGCGGGCGACAGAACTGAAGTGTGTAGCCGAGCCGAACCGTGCGGAGGATCCAGGGCGATACCCCTGGTAGACGCCTCCATTCCGGAAAGAAGTGAGATAGAGGAGTTGGAGTGATGCAATGCGGCGGACATACCTGAGTTAGGGTGATGCGCTGACTCCCGTGGGGTGGCGCGGTCCAGCGTGAAGGAAAGCACTTGACGTCCTGACACGTAGTGGGACGCACCACTGCCTGTTTGACCAAGACCAAAGGGTCTGCCTGCTCCTGAGAGAAAACTAAAGTGTCTCCGATGCGAGCGGCTGGTATCAAACGTGTCGGGTGCGAGGGGAGAAAGCTGAACGCGTCTCCTTCCTCCTGCGCCAGATGGCTTGAACAAAGTTGAGGAGTAACTGCACTTCGAAACACGCTGGGTGGCGAAGGTGACAGGTTTAGAGAAGGAGAGCAAGTGAGAGGTGGGCAGAAACGCTTGTGCGGTCTGTCCCAACCTCGTAGATCGAGGGAGGCTCTCCTTTTTCTGACCCGCGGGTCAGGAACGATTCGAGGAGGCTGGGGTGAAGGGTTTGTTAGACCGCTTCAACTCCAGACGCTTATGGGGCCGCTGGCGGGGGAACGGGCGACCGCGGGCTCCCCAGACCGTAGCAGGCGGGGGATGAGCCGAGTCACTTCTCCTAGTGGCAAAATCCAGCCTATGAGAAGAACGTTCTCTGGGTTGAGATGGGGAGGGGTTGGAGGATTCCCTAGCCCTCCTGGGCATGAATTGCCTGAGGGCAGCTGACTGGGATTTTGCGGCCCGAAATTTTTCAACCACAGTGTTGACCGCCTTCCCAAACAGACCAGATTGACACACTGGGGCGTCTAAGAGGAAAACCTTCTCTTTATCACGGATTTCCGTGAGATTGAGCCATAGGTGGCGCTCTGCAGCAATCGCCCCCGCCATAGAACTCCCTATAGCGCGCGCAGTATGCTTGGTGGCCCTTAAGGCCAGATCCGTGGCCTTGCGAAGCTCCTTGAATCTGGAGATCTCGTGATGCAGATCGGTGAAAAAGGGCAGCTTTCTCCGCTCAGGCATAGAATTAGGGCCACTTAAAAATCTTTCGTCGAGTTTAGACGATTGTGACTCGCGGGGCTCATCGGGCCAGTCGATGGAAAGCTTTTCAGGAGCGCGCGAAAGCACGTCGATAAGCTCCGTGTAGGCCGCAGTAGGCCGTGCCTCCTGGCCGCTAGGCGGGAGAGCGTCAGAAGCTAAAGCAGGCCCGAAATCCTCGGAGTCGGACGCTGTGGTGTAAATACTATCTTCCAGCCCGAAAGAAACCTACTCGCGTGCTCTCGGGCTGGGGCATAAATAATCATGAGAAAACTCGACTGGCCTAACACCGCGTGCGTGCTCGTGAGAGGGAGGGAGAGAAAGGGAGGGAGGCCCGTCTACCCGTCTGCTCGTACTCTATATCCTCGAGCTCTACATCCGAGCCCCAGGTCGCGGATTCCAACAAGGCCTCGGCAGCCTCTGGAGCGCGACAGGGGGGAACGAATGACTCCTTCTCACCGCGAGCCGAGAGCGGAGGGTTTTGAGAAGGAGGTTGTCACAGAACAGCCTCACGCCCATGCGAAAAACCCAAACACTTGACACACTTACTGTGCGGGTCGTGGTTCGCAATAAAGCGAACGCATGGTGGCAGGCAATGACGAAACTCCATGGCACTTCACCGCAAGGAGAACAGAGTTCCACTAATCGCAGTCGCTGAAGTGCAGATGAAGAAGCAGATGAAGAAACTTGTGATAATCCGAATATACGGGCTCAGAAAAAACGAAATCGAAGGGCTAAGATGGCCGCTTCGTGAAGGCAGAGAGATCTGAGGAGCAGATGGCGCGCGCGTGCTAATATAATATGACGACGCAAGAGCGTCGGGGCGGCGCCCGCGCCATCAGCCAATGAATTGGCGTGATTCTATGAGGGCTTCAGACAATCGGCACACCCAGAGGGCGTTCCCACTGCGTCTTAAGCTACGCAGCGTTGAGTGAACCTATGAAAGAGAACAGCGTCTTCTCGACATGAACAACACGAACCGAACTCTTCCAGTCTCAGATACACTACAGTGTTTGAGGGCGGAGCTAAGAGACGCTGTTCAGCCAATCAACACCACAGGCTGGCATTATGCAAATTAGTTACAAACCTACGCAGGTTCATCCAGAAGTGAGACTGAATTAATGACAACTGGTTCAGAATCACTTCTTTCTTTTAGGAGACAAAAACTCTCAAAAAGTGCATAATAGTGGCACTTTAAAGTGACAGCAGATATCTAAAACCACAAATGCAGAATATTGCAGAGAAGATTATAAATTGGTGTAAAACAGAGATCTTACAGCGTACCTTCTTGTAAACAGCGGCCATGATGGCGGTGCGAACTTTCATGCCCAGGATAAAGCATCGCTGGAAATACTGTTGCAGAATAACGGACTGTACAAACGCCACGAGCAGAAGCAGCACGGCGTACAGGTATCCGGTCCACGCGTGGCTCGATCTGTCCTGAACGAAGGCTATCATTAACCTGTGATAAAACACATCATATTGCTCCACCAGATTCAGAAACGACTCATCATAACTGATAAAAACTGCCCAGCTAACACAAATATACTCTAAGAACGCTTTGCTAACAGTCCCATTAAGTTATAAAAGCTTTGTTCTCTGATCATTAAAGATCATTAATGTTTTCTTGGTTATGTGAATGTTAAGGAACATTTCATTGAATCATTCTTCAAACATTATGCAAATTTACTTATCAATGTTCTCTGAACGTTTTGAAACAAGCAGTTACATTTTTACATTACATTACATTATTAAAGGCCAGAAAACTTTTAACGAACGTTCTCTAAATGTTACTGGAAGAACGTTTGTTCATAACTTTGAGAGAACATTTCATGTTTGCAGACATTAAAGGGTTAGTTCACCCAAAAATGAAAATTATGTCATTAATGACTCTCCCTCATGTCGTTCCAAGCCCGTCAGACCTCCGTTCATCTTCGGGACACAGTTTAAGATATTTTAGATTTAGTCCGAGAGCTTTCTGTCCCTCCATTGTAAATGTATGTACGTTATACTGTCCTTGTCCAGAAAGGAGATAAAGACATCATCAAAGTAGTCCATGTGACATCAGTGGGTTAGTTAGAGTGTGTTGAAGCATCGAAAATACATTTTGGTCCAAAAATATCAAAAACTACGCCTTTATTCAGCATTGTATTGTGTTCCGGTTCTGTTGTGGATCCGCGTTCAGTGCCGCCGCTGACGTAAGACGCTGCTGACGTGTGTCTGGTGTGTGTGTGTGTGTGTCTGGTGTGTGTGTGTGTGTGTGTATTCCGGTTCTGTTGTGGATCCGCGTTCAGTGCCGCTGCTGATGTAAGACGCTGCTGACGTGTGTCTGGTGTGTGTGTGTGTGTGTGTGTGTGTGTGTGTGTGTGTGTGTGTGTGTGTGTGTGTGTGTGTGTTCCGGTTCTGTTGTGGATCCGCGTTCAGTGCCGCCGCTGACGTAAGACGCTGCTGATGTGTGTCTGGTGTGTGTGTGTGTGTGTGTGTCTGGTGTGTGTGTGTGTGTGTGTATTCCGGTTCTGTTGTGGATCCGCGTTCAGTGCCGCTGCTGACGTAAGACGCTGCTGACGTGTGTCTGGTGTGTGTGTGTGTGTGTGTGTGTGTGTGTGTATTCCGGTTCTGTTGTGGATCCGCGTTCAGTGCCGCCGCTGACGTAAGACGCTGCTGACGTGTGTCTGGTGTGTGTGTGTGTGTGTGTGTGTGTATATTCTGGTTCTGTTGTGGATCCGCGTTCAGTGCCGCTGCTGACGTAAGACGCTGCTGACGTAAGACGCTGCTGACGTGTGTCTGGTGTGTGTGTGTGTATTCGGGTTCAAATAAATATGGCTTTGAAGCGGCACTGAACGCGGATCCACAACAGAACCAGAATACACACACACACACACACACACACCAGACACACATCAGCAGCGTCTTACATCAGCAGCGGCACTGAACGCGGATCCACAACAGAACCGGAATACACACACACACACACACCAGACACACACACACACACACACACACACACACCAGACACACGTCAGCAGCGTCTTACGTCAGCAGCGGCACTGAACGCGGATCCACAACAGAACCGGAATACACACACACACACACACACCAGACACACACACACACACACCAGACACACGTCAGCAGCGTCTTACGTCAGCAGCGGCACTGAACGCGGATCCACAACAGAACCGGAAGACAATACAATGCTGAATAAAGTCATAGTTTTTGATATTTTTGGACCAAAATGTATTTTCGATGCTTCAACACACTCTAACTAACCCACTGATGTCACATGGACTACTTTGATGATGTCTTTATCTCCTTTCTGGACAAGGACAGTATACCGTACACACATTTACAATGGAGGGACAGAAAGCTCTCGTACTAAATCTAAAATATCTTAAACTGTGTTCTGAAGATGAACGGAGGTCTGACGGGCTTGGAGCGACACGAGGGAGAGTCATTAATGACATCATTTTCATTGTTGGGTGAACTAACCCTTTAAGTCTTGTGCACGAGAAACGATGCAGAAGTTCAGAGCACGCACTTGAGAAGTTGTGGACTAGCAAACGCCAGCAGATCCTGTATGAGCTTGAAGAACGCGGACTCTAGAAGAACACCTTTGAAGGACTTCACGATGGTGGGAATCAGCCAGGACTGAGGATAGTCGTCGGATTCAGAATCCTTCTTCGCTTTCTTTTTGTCTTTCTTTTTCCCCGTCTCCTCCTAATAAGAAACATTGTGAGTGTGTCAGTTAGTCTTTAGATTTTCTTGGTTTTGACAGATTATGGTATGGTTATGATGGATTAGCCCATCGGACTGCAGCGTACACTCATTGAATCAAACAAAAGAAACGAAATACAAAGGTAGAAAGAGATTGAAGGTGAACGAAACAGTGTGTAAACCACAATCAACACAACAATGAATAGAGTGAAATGAAGCTCTTAAATACACAAAATAATCAACTAAATACAAAACAGGTAATCACAAAACACTAATCAATCAAACAATGAATTACTATTACAGAAAGAAAAAAATGAGACACAATTTCGATTTAATAGTATTTTCTCTTCACAGTTTTACTTTCTGCTGAAATTATTGTGGGTTTTCTTCATATTTCTTTTGTTGTTAGTACCTAACAGAAAATATGACGCATTTTAAAAAGACATTACAACAAACATTAAGGTCTTATTTATATTAGTTAAACTAAATCTTTTCTCCTAATTGAAAATTATATTATTGTAGCTGATTTTGTTTATATTTGTTTATCTATATTTGCAGATATTTCATCAGAATTAAAGGTTTGAACCCAAACCATACAATGAGAAAAACGAATAAATTTGGCTGTAATAAATTAGAGGTTTGTTTTTTTAAGTTTTAAGTTTTTCTCAGTCTGTGCAATGCAAACCAACACTAATAGTTCGCAGTAAACAGGAGCAGTGAACACACACTTTTCTAAGACGTACCATAACTAGAACATCCTGACTGACTCCTTTGGCCAAGCCGTTCTGAGCCTCACCGCGCGTCGGCCGCTTGCTTCGCTTCTTCTGTAAGACGCCGCGAGCCTTCCTCAGCTCTCTCGCCATGACGTCCTCGAACTGCTGGCAGATCCAGTGAGTGGAGTCCTCCTCGTTCAGATCCCACATGTCCTCCTGAACCAGAGGCCGCTTATAGCCTTTGAGGACCATGCTGAGGGAAAACATTCACAACGCTGTTATGCAGAACACACACACACACACAGTCAAACCTAAATGTATTCAGACACCTTGCTCTCCTCACTTACATAAATTAACTATAGTGTCCTGCACTCACTCAAGTCAAGTCATCTTCATTTATATAGCGTTTTTAACAATGTAGATTGTTTCAAAGCAGCATTACAGTGATAAACATATAATTTAAGGTAACAGAGATTCCCAGCTAACATGAGTCCAGCGGTCCAGTGGTGGACCACCGGTGGCAAAGTCGGCGGCCCACTGGCGGACGCCGCCGGCGGATCACTGGCGTTTTGCTCATCGTTATTCTAGCGGACCTCCAGCGGCAGACGCCGCTTTCCCGACGGTGGTCCGCTATCGTGCCGCTGGTTTATAATAAGTGTTTTCTGGCGGACCACGGTCGGTCCACGGTTTATAATCAGTTACTCATGCTAACCAAAATGGCCTTACACTATAATGGATAAAAAAAATAAGCAATGTACACCAGTCTCAATAGCAGTTGCAAATATATTTTTATTAGATTAATTTTCAGTGGACAGATTAAATTAACAACACATTTATATTTATCAGATTATTTTACTCAACGTGACTATTAGTCAAGTACATTATAGGATAATTTAAGTATATTTGTAGTACCCTTATGAAAATTAACCATATGGTTTTACCACAGCATTTGCAGCATTTTCACAACAACCAAGGTTTAAAAACCTATGGTTATAGTCATGATTACCATAATTTTACAGCAATTATTACAGCAATATTACTAGTTGAACCATGGTTTTGAAAAAAAATAACATGGTTGATAGTTTTACCATAGTAAAACCATATAGTGCTCTTCACAACACAAATCGTTTCAAAGAAGCTTTACAGAAAATGCATGTTCATGGTTACAATCACAAAATATAATTTAATCAGCCAGAGGCGACTGCTACTCACTGGAGAGCATCTTCTGGCAACAAAGTAAAGTCCATAAGATACAAGTCATGAGTTTAAAGTCATGTTCAGTTAAGCCTGGAACACACCAAGCCGACGGTCGGCCGTCGGGCAGTTTTTGTGCGTCGTCCGACTGAGTTTCCTCGGTGTGTTCCGCACGGTTCCGTGCCGTCGGCTGAAATTGGTCCTCGTCGGCTTTGTTTCGGCCGATTCGACATGTTGAATCGGCGTCGGGCCGTCGGTGAAAGAGAGAACTCTGATTGGCTGTTCAGCTTAGTGAAAGAGTCAATGCAGGAGAATAATAGCAAAACAGCGAGCAAAGAAGTCAAAACTTCTTTGAATATTTCAATATTAACACGAGCGGAGTGGAATAAAGAAAGTGTTTAGCAGGATTGATATTCAGAACGGTAAGCACACACTGCTTTGTTTATGGTTTGTGTATCTGCAGCCGACAGCGTCGGTTTCCCTTTTTGAATGACGAATATAGAGAATATATCTGCAGAAATAGACAGTTAATTGTCTCATTTACACGCAGGCGCAGAACGCGCATTCTAGCTGACAGTCGCCTGTAGTTCTCTCGGTGTGTTCAAGTGCAGCTTTTTACCCCGACGAGAGGCGACAACACAGTCGGCTTTCATCGGCGCTAGTTCGTCAGCGTCGGCTTGGTGTGTTCCAGGCTTTAAACAGACAAATTTTTGCTATCCTTCAACATTTCAAAAGGGCAAGTTTGCAGATTGTCTGTGAAACCGGGCCAATGCAATATAAGGTTAATATCTGGCAGTTTTTTATGTCCATCTATAGTTGTCATCATCTGAAGTCTTCAAGAGTGTTGGTGTCATTAGAAGTCTTCACAAGTGAGGCTGGATCCAAACTGGAGCTGCTGTAATATCTAGTAAACTTGCCGAGCATCCTGAGATAGAAACAGGGAAACAATAGGAGAAAGATTAGCATACCTGCTGTAATATTTCAGGCAAAAGATGATCATGTGCACTTTTTACTATTTTATAGTCTTATAGTGCAAGATTATGAGATGTGTTAATTGAATGCTTGAATAAAGAGATGCGTCTTTAATCTAGATTTAAATTAGGATTGTGTTTCTGGGCCCCAAACATTATCAGGAAGGTTATTCTAGAGTTATTCCCTCACATTCAATTGAATTAATAGGAACTTGTCTGATTTTAATGAGAAAACATGACTAACGAGTCAGCATTTTTATATTTGAACACCATACATTATTACAATGCAAACGTCCTAAACATTTCTGAGTATTATCAATGTTAAAAACAGTTGTGCTGATTAATATTTTTGTGTAAACCAGTGTAACAATTTATTCCATTTTCTTTTTTCTCTCTCCAGAATTAATTGTTAAATAGACCCAACATACGTAAATGGTAGTTTATACTACTGTTCAAAAGTTTGGGTTCAATAGAATTAAAAAAATTAAATAAATTCATATTTTTATTCAGCAAGGATGCATTAAATTGACCAGAAGAGAGAGTAAAGATTTCTGTTTCAAATAAATGCTGCTTTTTTCCTTTCTATTCATCAAATAATCCTGAAAAACACAAAAATATGAAGCAGCACTGTTGTGAATTAATTAGAATAGAAATGTTTAATTAATTATCTTTAATAATAACAGAAACAGTGTTGTCATTTACAAGGTTGTTCAGCTTTAAGAAAAGTCGACCCAAAATGCATCGGGGCGAGAGCGCGCAGATAGAATAGAGAGAAGAGTGATGAGATTGACATCCATGTGTGTGCGCTGTATTCATTTGTAATCCTGTTCGTAAACTTCAGTAAACAGTTAGTTTTATGTAATTCAAGTCGTCAGTGGTCATTACTGCTTAAGGAAGAAAAGATATGACAAGCACAACTGATTTCAACACTGATAATAATCATAAATGTTTCATCAAATTATAATATTAGAATGATTTCTGAAGGATGATTTGATGCTTCTCCATAGAAAACAATTATTTAAATGTTTTAATATTATTTCACAATATTATTGTTTTTACTGTATTTTTAATTAAATAAATGCAGTCTTGGTGAGCATAAGAGACTTCTTTCAAAACATAAAAAAATTGTACCAACAACATTAGTGTGTTTAACATTAGTGTATGTTTGAAGTTTTAGTTTAGTTCCTTTGTCCACAAGTGGAAATTTGTCTTTGGTTTAGTTTTACTTACTAGTCATGTATGGTTGATGGTGCCTTAGAGATGATGATCAGCTCAACTCTGCTACGATGCAGGGCATCAGCATGGAAGATCTAGGAACACAACAAACCATTTGTTACAGAGCCAACAATATTATACAATAACAGGTTTATTAAAAGGAAAGAAGCTACAGCAGAAGTGAATTGCAGAAAAGAGAAAGAATATACAGAAAATGATTTCTTAATTAGGATAACAGAATTTATGTTTTTAGGTTTACTTATCCATTATGTTGTGTTCAAACCCCTATAACACTTGTGGTGTTCCTGGTAAAAAATGACCGGCCTTTAAAGAAATAGCTTATAAATCACTTGTTATGCATATTATCACCCAATATTGGATTCAATCTTTTTGTCAACTTGTTCTCTTTTAATTAGTACTGGTTTTATAATTCTGTTTGCATCTGATTAATCATAGGCCTCATTTATCTAAGAGTAGGCATCTCATTTTCTTTGTAAAAAAAGCATTATTTATAAATAATTTCGAAAATATTAAATACAATATGAACATCTTCATGTACACATATGTACATGTGTGCTTGCAAACATTGAGCCCTTGGATCTGTGCATGTGTCGATACATGCAAACGCGCTTCCCAAACAAACACACACATTAAAACACACAAACTATTTTGAGTATTACACATTCTTTTCCACAGAAAGAAACTTGATCCTACCCTGAACTGCATCTAATATCCATTCATCTATCTGACATACACTCTCACACTCACACACACACACACACACACACACACACACACACACACACACACACACACACACACACACACACACACACACACACACGCAAACTGGCTTTAGTCTGCAGTGACCCTGTTTCAAAAGAATCTTTCATGTTCTTTGTTTCATCACAGTTTTCAGACTAAATATTATGACATTGTGTTTTGGGACTAGATGTTCTCACACAGAAAAAGATGAAAATTTACAGATATAGATGTTATAGCACAGACACATATAAATGATTCACAGTATCTTGCTTGTCATTTATTTTGTAGCAGCACAATGGCGAAGAAGCTCTCTGTGCATGATGTTCTTCATCAGATCATTGATCGAGATTCTAGTGAGGATGAATCTCAGAAGAAAAACTACCTTGCCTCGTGGGGATGAAGACCAGGACAAACTTACATCTTTCGACCAGAATGTAACCGTAGCATCAGCTGGCCCTCATCATCAGAAGATGCTGCTCATCAGTGGTTTCAAGGTCTCTAGCTCAGTGGTGGCTTCTTCTAAAACATCTTTCTAATGCTCCTTCACTGCAAGATTCATCCTGCATCGCCTCCTCCTCACTGGTGTCTCGATCAATGATCTGATGAAGAACATCATGCACAGAGAGCTTATTCGCCATTGTGCTGCTACAAAATGAATGCCAAGCAAGACACTGTGAAGCATTTATATGTGTCTGTTCTATAACATCTATATTTTTACATTTTAGTCCCAAAACACAATGTCATAATATTTTGTCTGAAAACTGTGATGAAACTAAGAACATGAAAGAAAGATTCTTTTGAAACAGGGTCACTGCAGACTAAAACCAGTTTGTGCATAGATATATAACTTAATTATATCCTTTGTGAACAAAGTCACCAAGTTTCAGTCCAATGCAATGACATTAACTAGTATTTTAGGGAAAAATAAAATCTTCTCTGGGTCAAAATGACCCAAACACAAAATGAGGGTTAATATTGCTCAAACAGTGTAACTTACATTTGGATGTCAAAACCTTAAAATAAATTAAACAAATAAAAAATGTAAATATGAGAAATTTAAAAAATGAGAACAGATGCATGGTGATATAGGTGAAAAATATAGTGAAAAAAATGATATGAGATTATTTAATGAGCTTCCTCACTTCACCTGTGTTTCCCACTTCTCCAGCAGCAGCTTTCTTCAGAAATGTTGAAGTAGTGGAACTTTTCCTCTGTTGTAGAGGGATTATTTTGTTGCTGCTGAAATCACAGAACAATTTTTATCAATATTTATTAACCATTGAGCTAGTTTCAGTCGTGTAAGTGACGTCATCGATTAACAGCACTTTTATGTTAAATACATACGTTTATGTTAAATAAATTAGCTCACTTCCAAGCAAAATCTTTACAAAACTATCAAAACCTCTCATCTACACATAAGATGTGATTAAAAGCCCAAACCTTCATAAACAAAAGCAAGCTATAACGTTAGCCTAACAACGTTACCTCTTCTGAAAACGGTTGAGATGCTAACGGACTTTCTCGAAGACAGTAAACCATTTCTATAAAGTAAATATTCAACAGAAGCGTGTCAATTACAAGTAAGAGAAGTGTCAAGAACAGTTGTGTGTATTATTTGTGTGATTTTAGGGACTAAACTCACCTGAAAGCAGTGAAATCAACAGCGAGAGTCGGAGTTTTGCTGCTTGTCTGTTGCACTGGTGACGCGTCCTGCGCCGTTTCCATGGTAACTCATCTCTGCTCCAGTGTTTTAAGGCGACTCGAATATTCACGCGCACGTCCATTAAAACGCGTCAAAGTCACGCAGCATTTACAAACATACATCTAGAATTAGAACCTTACTTGAATAAAAATCTCATTATTAAATCATGAATTTAAAACTTATTTTGAAGTTATATGACCCGTTCGGTGCAAATTACCACTCCAGCACGTGATAGTGGGACAATTGTGGCACTTTTATAATATCAGATTTTTTTATTATTGTTTTTACGAACACTCAAGCCCCATATTTCATTTGAACGCGTGCTAAAAATGCTTATAGGCAGTGTTTTTTATACCACCAACACTTTTGATATAGCTACTTGCAGCTATGTCAGTTTCACATTTTTTTTATTCAGTGCTTTCAGATTCTTTTTAACTGTAAAAAATAAATTAAAAATAAATATACATTTATAAATTAAAGATGTCCTGTAAGTGCTCAGCAACACTGGACCGACTATCGGCTTGCCACTGGTGTGCCGACGTTGGCCCAGCCGCGGAAAGCCGCCGGTGGCGTGCCACCCAAAAAACGCTGGCGGACCGACCGCATTTTCAGATTGGTCGTTTTGCCAATGGTGTGCCGCCGGAGGTCCGACCGTGTCAAGCCGCTGACTTTGTGCCGCCCAAAAAACGCTGGTGGACCGCCAGGTCATTGTTAGCTGGGTTGGTTTGGTTTTATAGCGGTTCTTGAATAATGTGATTTTTTTCCAGCTAAAGTTAGTTTTGATTGATTCACTTCCGTTGAAATGAGCATTTGTTATTAAATTAGGGTCCGCTAAGACGACACCGTTCTCTCTAAACAGACTTTAAACTGAACCTGTGATAAACGCTGATGGCGTTCACATGCGCATTAAGAATTGATTCTATAGTTATGTGCATTTGAATATATGTGCGCAGGTTTGTAATTCCCTACAAACCATGTCTAAACAAACTACTTGTCTTCCCTATAAATTTTGATACAGAATTTTTTTTTTATCACTTCGGGGTTGGTACGCGAACCGTAAAAAATATCAACAATTATATCTGGTGTCTGAATAATTTTTGGTTTGACTGTATGTGTGTATATATATACACATAATTTGTGTGTAATACAGACACAACAGTGACTCGCAGAAAGTCATCGGCACATGGTCTAATCAGTCAAAATAACTATAAAAAGCAAGATAAGGAACACAATAAACTCAGATCCACCTGTTAAACCAGTTAAAGGTGATCCTGCTGAGAAACGTTGCTTTTGCTTCGGGATTCTGTGAAGAATTAGAGAAAGTACATAAGAGAAATATACGTTTATTACAAGTGACATCAAGTGGCATTTCTCGCATGCTTTCTGTACCGTTTGTGAGCGTTTCTTAACTTCCGGTGAGAGGTCAGCGATGGCTGATAGAACCAGAGCGATGATCTGCAGTCCATAACCGATGTAGAACAGGGAAAACCGTGGGACATCCGGCACTTCATCCTGCGGGAAATCATTTCAGGAATGATCAGACATGCGTTGATCCTTTAGACACACTGTGTCATGCGCTATTAATGAACAACAATGTTTATTAATGTTACAGCATTTCTCAATATTACCGTCAATTTAAAAAACATGAAATTAAGTCAAGTCAATGTTCATTATACACACAGTTTCAAAGAGCTTTACAGAAATTCATAATGTTTGTTTGAGAGCTGGACAAAATTATGAGTTTACATTTGAAGACAAAAAAAAACACAATCAACCAGATTAGATTTTCTATACAGTAAATATGTGAATATATGTAAAGATGAAGTTAGTGGTTTGCTTTGTGGTGATATTTAGGATTATGAAATTTGTAAAGTGTCTAGTTTATAATTTTTTGGTGTAGTGACACACCTACTAGTACATGTACCGTGCCGTTATATAGCCTACCCTGTAACGCATGACATATGAAATAATAGTCAGAAAATCTTCCTTTTTTTTTTAAATGGAACCATTTATTCCATTTCTGAAAAAATAACCATTTCTGAAAAAAGTTTGCATATGTGTTTTATGTTGAGTATCATATTTGATACATCAGGGTTTTTTACAGCTTATATAGCCTGATATAGCATGCTTTGCCATGACACTGAAAAGGGAGAGTGGGGAAAAGGTGTTTTTAGTCGTGTTTAATGTTTTGTTGTGCTCGTTTAGAAGAGTTTCTGTTGGGTTTTGGGGGTTTCATCATGTGACGAGTGGAGCGTGAGCTCGGTTTGAGAACAGTGTATGTTAAATGTTTTAAAGTGATGTACTCATTCATCGAGTGCTATTCTATGCTAATGCTATCAAAGCATTATGTCACCAATTAGCAAGGTCACATTTTTTGAATTAGCTGGTTAAAGCTAGTCAAGTTTCTACACTAAAAATATTTAAGTTGAGATTACATGATAATTCTAAATTGTGTCTGAATTAGCTTACTCAAATATTTCAAGTTAAGAGCAATTCAAATATATGATTATAAAATAAAAATCTGCAAGTTCTGCTTACTTAAACGTTAAATTTCTTAACTTAAAAAAATTGATGTAATTGATAACCTCAAATTATTTAAGTTTTGCCAACTTATTCGGGTTTACAGTTTACTGTTATGCACCTATAACAATTAATCACCTTAAAACCTGTTTCAAGGTTTGCGTTCTCGAGCACTAAACACTGTTGTGTAAATGAACTGAGTTTTCTGTTAGAGCGGTGTCGTGTTAGCGGCCGCTAAGTTAATAACTAATGATCTCTGCAAGGAAGTGAATCAATCAAAACTAACTTTAGCTGGACAATAACTTTATTCTAGACTTGCTGTAAAGCCAAAACAATCTCTGTTACTGTAATTTCCTATTATCACTGTAAAGCTGCTTTGTCCATATTGTTAAAAGCGCTATATAAATGAAGGAGACTTTTTGCCATGCATTCTCCTGTACAGTATCTTGGTTCTCTGTGAGTGTTTTGTGTACCTGTGCCAGCGCTTCCCTCAGTAACGTCTGGAACTGGAAAACTGCACACAGCACCTGAAGGAGCCAGAAGAGGAACAGGCTCCCGGAGTCCACAGACTTCACCCTGCGCCGCATCGACTCCTGGCACAACATCACCACTATCTGCACACATCACACATTCATCCAGTGTCTGCAGCTCTGTGTGTTTTTGCTTGCCTACAGGATTGATGAACGTACCCATGAAACTGCGAAGAGAACAGGGTTGGTGTAAAACACGGCTGGGTGTTTCTGTGCGGTGGATTCACTCGACGGCCCGTAATCCTCTCCCAGAGTGAGCGCTAACTCCGCTACCGCTGTCAGGAACAGCAGCCCACACACAATCTGATGGACCCAAGGAGAAATGAGTTCGAGTGAACAATGTGATGAACAGCGTGGGGTTCATACACAAACCTAAACAGGCCAACCAGGAGCACCCATCCAAACATCAGACGGGGAAAACTAGGATCTGCACTCAACAATGTGCTCAAAACCTCACAGAAATGATATTCCAAAAAAAAATCAAACAAAATAAAAATCTCAAAGGTATGAATGAGTAATAGACCATGAATGTCAAATGTTTATGTGGCTTGATATATAAACTGATTCACTATTAATTTAAAAGGTCATAAAAGATAGTTTTAATTATGATAAGAATGTAAGATAATGGATTGTAAAGATGCACTGAAACAAATAACATAATGTCCTTTGTTTGTAGTAACATTTGTTGTATATTTGTCTGTTTACATTAGTAGGATTACGGTAATGTCCTGGCACTTGAAAGGATGTTAGGATGTTGCGGTTCTGATTACCGAACAGGTTTCCGCGCCAGTGGACACGTACTGTAAAGGCCTATTCACATTAAGAACGATAACTATAACTATAACTACATTAGCATCAACAGCAGCACACAATATCTTTCTGTTTATTATAAGCGCGCTGTCTCTTTAAATGCCCGAGCTCGTTAAACCAGGATGGATTCTGATTGGCTGTCAGTGTTCCAGCTGGAACATAGACGTTCTGAAAGTGAATCCAGCGATATTGTTCCTACAGAACTGAGAACATGTTATTACAGTAAGAAGTTTCCACTTGATATTTATTTGACTGTGTTTTAAAAAGATGGTTGTTGTGGGTTACACTTTATTTTAAGGTGTCATTGTTACAGTGTATTTATATATTTAAGTACTGAGTAATATTGAGCAACTACATGTACTTACTATATACACTGAACCAAATTATAAACGCAACACTTTTGTTTTTGCCAATATCCAGCAACTTCACACAACCGTTGGAGTGGAGTGGGCCGACATTCGACAGGCCACAATCAACAACCTGATCAACTCTATGCGAAGGCGATGTGTTGCACTGCGTGAGGCAAATGGTGGTCACACCAGATACTGACTGGACCATCCCCTCCCCCACCCCAATACAGTAAAACTGCACATTTTAGAGTGGCCTTTTATTGTGGACAGCCTAAGGCACACCTGTGCAATAATCCTGCTGTCTAATCAGCATCTTTATATGCCACACCTATGAGGTGGATGGATGATCTCGGCAAATTAGAAGTGCTTATTAACACACATTTAGACAGATTTCTGAACAATATTTGAGAGAAATAGGCCTTTTGTGTACATAGAAGAAGTCTTAGATCTTTGAGTTCAGCTCATGAAAAATGGGGGCAAAAACAAAAGTGTTGCGTTTATAATTTTGTTCAGTGTAGTTTGGGTAGGATTAGGATTTGGTTGAGGGTTAGTTGCGTGTAATTATGCATAACTATGCATTACTATGTAAGTAAATGTAACATGTAACAAGGACAGTGTGGACAGTGTAAAATAAAGTGTTGCCTTGTTGTGAGATGAATGATAGGGATCTGATTTCACCTGTTTGCAGATGTAGAGTCGTGAGGCCGGAGCTTTGGCAGATTTCTTGCAGAAACTCGTGAAGTGCCACGGAGCGCAGAGCCAGAGGAAGAGCACGGGGAACCAGACCAGAACCGTCCTCTCTACACACACCGGCAGATCCGGGTCCGGCCGCTGCAGGTACGAGGCATTCTAACACACACACACACACACGTTAGAGTGAATGAAAGGCATGACACACTGGCCGGAGTTCAACTCAGAGCAGAAGTCATCCTGATGTTGCTGAGTGTGTGTGTCAATGATTAAATCTGTTATTGTAGTTACACTCAGAAAACACTGTGTGACTCAAGTGCTTTTATTACTATCATATGCAATGTCATGATCTAACATAGAATGTTTTTGTTTTCTTTCATAAATGACCTTTTATCTATAAACTGCAGCTTAGGACATTAGGCTTCAGACCGTATATTAATTTGTCTAGTTTTTGTCTGTCACACACATTTTTTAACGTACCTTTATCTTTTGAACATGAAGTATAAAATTAAGAATACTGGGTAAACATCTGGACATACTGAGCATTGCATGTCAAATTTTGTCGATGGCACCATATATATATATAATCTAACAACTCCATAACTGTCTCTGTCTGTCTTTCATGATTATCACTAGATCCATTATTTGATTCTTTATATAAGTCATGATTCTTTCTTTGTTTTTCTAACAAGAAAAACAAAGAAATAATCATGACATAAATAAAGAATCAAATAATGGATCTAGTGATAATATATATATATATATATATATAGCTTAATCTGCTTCAAATGATTCACTTAAAAATTTTGTTAGTCAGCAAATTAATAAATGGAAATGTAATTCTAGCTATTAGTCTATTAAATTTGTATTTTTTTTTTTTGAAAAATCACTTTCATTAAAACAACTTTAATTTACAATAATTATGCCTAAGACTTAATTCATTTTACATATTCTTGAAATAACTTGCATCAAATCCACATACTGATCAAAACCAGTGTTAATTTATGTTTTATTAATAGGCTAAAGAATTAGCTTTTATTTTATATTTTAAATTTTCACATTTATTCTAGTTTAAAGTTTACTTATGTACTTTTGTCAATGTATTAGTTATATAGTTATATTATATATTAGTATTTAGGTTTAATTTATTTTTATTTCAACTTTATTTTTATTTATTTATTTATTTCCAGTTAATAATTTGAGTGCTTCAACTTCAACTTATTTCAGTTTATTGCTAAGGCAACATTTCACGTTTTCGTTTAGTTTTTAAGTTTTTCAAATAATATTTATATTTTATTTTATTTCAGCTTTATTTCATGAATGAACAGAAATGTTTTGAATAGTTTTAGTTAACAATAATAATCCTGCTCAGAACCAATGTCAGTTGTCATGGAAAACAAAATAATCATAAATTAAAAACGTTTAAGTCGTACCATTTAGGGCTGCATTTTGTGTAGAACGCATAAAGCAAGGTCATATTCAAATGCATTCCAGCTACATAATTTGACTCTGAGCTGGATAAAATATAATTTGGTCTCTCTTTTCTGAATTTCCCATGACTTTAGCCTGTTATATTGTGGAATTTCACTGTATTATCATTCAGAACTTAAAAAGCTGAACACAAAACTCACCCAGAAAACAGAGCCGCAGTATTTCTCTAAAGCAGCAGACATGTTTCTTCCATCCCTCTGACCAGCAGCAAACACAGATGATGCTTTTCTTCCACTAAACACACTGACTCTCTCAGCGCTGGAGTTCTTACTCTTGTGGACACGTCACATAAACCTCGAGGTGATCTGTGCGGTTCTTCCTAGCCTGAACTCTGGTCTTCTGAGAGATGTCCCCCACATCGGCTCCTCTAACTGAGGGACAGTGTCGTCTCAGAGCTCCTGTCCCTGTGACAGAACAAATGCACACACATGTAACCTTTCCCCACTTATTGAAAAAGAAACAGCCCAGAGATTACTATTCAGTTTTCATTACTCACCAGTCTAAAGTCCAGATGCACCATGGTTATGTACATGTGAGGAGGGGGAGGGATGGACACTCACACACACACACACACACACACACACACACACATACACACCGAGATACTCACACAGACACATACACTCACTCATTCATTCACTCTCACACACACACACACACACACACACACACACACACACACACACACACACAATGGGAAACAGCTATTTTCCGTTTTCTTTTCTCTTGCTTGTGTTGTTGTAGGTAGGGTTTCCTGCCATTATAAAATCATTAAAGAAAGATAAACAAAGGATGGCTACTTATGGTCAGTCTTATATAACAAAAATATTATAATTATAATCATGAAACTACTATCAATTTGTTTGATTTAAAACATTGCGAACACTTTATTTTGATGGTCCACCAACAGACTTTTTCTTAACTGTAAGTAACTTTCCAACTACAGGTCAACTTATTCTACTAACACTAACAGTCTACTAATACTCTACTGAGAGTTAGTTGACATGTAAACATTATTTATAGTCAAAAGAATGTCCACAGGGGGAATATCAAAATAAAGTATAACCAAAACATTTAATTAAATAATATAAAAAACAAATGTAATGTAATTTATTTAGGATATTTTTAATTCCACAAAAGTTTCAACACACACAAATAAATAAATTAATAATTATCTGTACATTCTTGCTTTATAGATTAGATTAGGTTTATGTTGTACAACGAAAACATCACACTAAATGCTGTCTAAATTCAAAGCTGATACAAGACTATTGATACCAAACAAGGGTTAGGGTATGAAGAAAAATATATAGGCAGTGTATATGTATAAAATATAACTTAAATTCTTCAAAATACTGTAAGACAGGTGTTTTTTCACATTGTGATCTTCTGCCTACTGAAAATGTTTACAGTTAATCATTACATCTGTCAGGATAAGATACAGTGTGTGCTGTGAGTCCATGAGCATTCAAGGACACATCAGCATGACAGGCAAAAAGACAATTACACAGCATTTTGCTTCATAATTGTTTCTCTAATGAAAAAGATTTTTGTCCCACTTTTTATTACGTGGCTTTAAGTACTATGTACTTACAATGAAATTAATAATTTGGTACAATGGACTTATTGTGTACATACATGTTTTTACATTGTACTTATATTTAAAAAAATACCTGCATGTAATTAGAGCTGTAATTAGTTTATGCAATTACACAGTTGACCCTTCCCTTACACCTTAACCCACCCTCAAACCGACCCATAACACCACACCTGTCCCTAACCTTAGCCCTATCACACCTCAATAGCAGCAAAAGTGTTTTACAATACAACATGAACACAATAAGTACATTGTACTTATTTGTCGATGTAAGTACATAGTAGTTAAAGCCACTTAATATAAAGTGGAACCAAAACGCCTAGGGTTACGTTACGCATGTAACCCGGTTCCCAGAGAAAGGGAAGGAGACTATGGGGACGCCATGCCGACTACGCCATGCTGACCAATGCTTGCTTGTTCTCGAACTAACAAACAATCTAAGCACTAAAGCTCAGAGGCCTCATGCGGGGCACTAATGCATATCGGAGGGCAACAGGCCTTGCAACCAAAATGACCTGCTTCTCAGGCTACAGTAAGCATTATAGCTCAGTCTTCGGGTGAGGAGTGGGTCCAACCTCAGTTTAGACTGCCACCATGGCCACAAGAGGACAACTAGATCAAAATTAACTACAGAAAAAATGTAAAGTAATCTTACATCCAACAATTTCGTACTAAACATGGTGTCACAACGTAAACAAACTGAACCTAAATGTCGAGAGCAATTAAAGAGTTTATTTTGTCCACAGTGAACACAATCATGATAATCCTGGAGGAATATGAATAAATCCAAATAACAGATGATAAGGCCGACTGGATTAAGACGATGAATTTGCACAGGAAGAAATCAGTCAGACTGTCCAATCTGTATGATCCAGGCAGGTTAGTAATGAACAAGAAATTCAACATAGAGCGAAATCGAAGCCCACAGAGATGGAGCAATAACAACAAACTTTAGAAAAGAGAACAAAAACGTTGAGACAACAACAACAAACTGATAAAGAATGAACTAGGGTTCACATGGGGGAAAACAAATGAGGAACAGGTGAGTATGAGCTCTTCAGCTGCTTCGATGCTGAATGAGTCAGTCACACACACAAGGGTGACAGACACAATAGGAAGATGACAGCAATGAAAATACAGACCTGAACCATGACAGTACCCCTCCACCTAAGATTGCCTCCTGGCGATTATAGGACAATTTACATGTTGATTGTAATCATCAATCAGAGTGTGATCCAATATAGCCGCTTTTCCACCGTCGGGCCGAACGGTTCTTAGAATGGTAAGGAACCGTTCCAGTTGTGTTTCCACTTGAGCCTGGTACAGCATGACGCGATTACAAACCGTTATCGGCCCGGAATACTCAGCACGGTTAGCTAACCGTATAATATTATTATTAATATAATATAGTCTGTTGTCTGACATCCAGTTTCTCTGTAGCTGGTTAAGCGCGCTATTTGAGTGAAGTAAACAAAGCAATAATAAAATTAAATAGCAATAGCTGATCATTCTCCATAACGCGGTCGCTATTTACATCTTACATCATCAGTAAACCATCGCGTTACAAAGGAAACGACTGACGCGTTTGTATTACATTACAAAGAGCGGCCGCTATCAGCCCCACAGTGGAAAATGAAACTGTAACCGTACCAACTGGCCCGGATCGGCACGGAATTGAAAAGTTACGCAATGAGAACTGTTAGGCCCGACTGTGGAAAAGCGGCTTATGTCTCTTCCAGGAACCGTAACCCCTAACCTTCCCAATCCACCAAATACTGGAAACTGCATCCCCTCCGCCTCGAGTCCAGTATATAATAAACCGAATATACTGGTTCCTCGTCTACAACACACAGTGGTGGAGGAACTGGAGCAGGCGGATTAAGGGGAGAATGAAAAACAGGCTTTAATTTGGAGACATGAAAAGCTGAATGAATTTTCCTGTACACTGGAGGAACAACTACCGGACTGATAATCTTGGTGATGGGAAATGGGCCTTTGAATTTGGGAGGCAATTTCTTACAAACGGAGCGGAGAGGAATGTCACTGGAAGAAAGCCACTCTTTTTGACCGACGCCCGACGGCATATATAGGAGGTTTCAACCGGAGGCAATCTGCTTAACCTTTGTGCGTGCACCCACCTGGAAAAGCATCTGTCTGGCCTTCTCCATGTGCGTCGACACCTTTAGACAAAGGCGTGAGCAGAGGGGACTGTGATATTGGTTTCCAGTGAAGAAGGCAAGACACCACAATGTGCGCTCCAAGGCTTGGTTGGTCCGTTCAGATTGACTGCTTCTCTAACGGTGGCCCCCAGGAACCAACAAAACTCTTTCCAATATGTGGAAACAAATTGGGGTTCCATCAGAGACCACGACGTCTGGAGGCCATGATTGCGAAAGACGTGGTCAATGACCACAACCACTGTCTCTCTGGCAGAGGATATTTTAGGCCTTCAGTTTAGTTACAGACTAGTTGGCTATAACTGCAAATAAAATGGCATTAAAAATTGGCAAAGCCCAGAAACCTCTGCCGGGCCTTGTGGGAATCTGAAATTGACCAATTTACCACAGCCTGAATCTTGGCGGGATCCATGCACACACCCTCGAAATGATGTACCCCAGGAATAGAACAGACTGCATGAAAGACGCATTTCTCGGTCTTGACAAACAACCCATTCTCCAGCAACTTCAGAAGCACTTGTCTGACGAGCTAGGTATGTTCCTGGCAGGATGACGAAAAAATCTATATATCATCCAAATAGACTGTCATGTATTAGAATGATCGTCAGTATCTTTAAGATGTGAGTGTACTATGCATAATGGGACTGGATATTTAGGGAAGGTCACATTAAGAAAGTAAAGATGTCTTTCAGAAAGCTATCAAGCGTGTGACTGATTTAATTAAGCTGTGTATGAGAGATATCTGATTACACAAGAAAACTGATATATAACGCACAAAAAATTAATGGTCCACCATGTCGCTCAGCACATTGTTGACGAGAGCCTGGAAGCATTGCGAAGATCCAACTTCGTGAAAAAGGTGGACTCTTGCAGACACTCAAAGGCTGATAACATTAACGGCAACAGGTTAGTGTTTACAGATATATCATTCAGACCCCGATAGTTGATGTAGGGACATAATGAACTGGACTTTTCCACAAAGAAGTATCCTGCCCCTGCAGGAGAAGAACAGCTCGCCCCACAGCGAGAATTTGCTCTTCCCGATGAGCTATTTGGGTGTTGCTGCTGGTAACAAACTTGCTTAATTCTGCCCTTGCTGGGTTAATCTTTGGTCAGTTCGTTCTGTCACACAGTAAACAAACAGATCCCAAACGCTGCGAGCAACAGGTGAAGTTAATTTTTCTTTGCAACAACTTCAGCATCATTCAACTTAGGCAGAGACTGTACAAGCGCAACACTTTCAGTCGCAGATGTCAAACTTGTCTGCTTCCACTCTTTACAGGGAACTCAGTCCAGGCAATAAAAACAAACTCGCCTGTCACGGGTACGTGTGAAAGGTTTGCCACTGGAATTTGAGTGAGTGCCACTTTTAATCAAGTGTGAGGAAACTTGAGGGATACTTTCATCACAGAACTCACAGCAGAAGGAGTAGAAACAGGAGTTTGACCATTTAAATAGAAAATATTCTGGTGCGTCAGCACAAACTCATCAGACAAAACTGCCACATCCAGAAGCGAAGTGTCTTTCTGTTTATTTAGATTGGCAATAACTCTTTCTGGTACGCAATTTTTAAAGTCTTCCAAGAAGAGTAACTCCTGAAGTTGCTCAAAAGTTTCAACCTTTTTGGGAAAATACCACTTCTCAAAGTGTCCTTTTCTCTCTCGCAAACTCCACGTACGTCTGTCTGACTGTTTTTAATGCGAACAAAATTTTGGGCTGTAAGCCTATGGGACCAACTCTTATACACTTAAAACTGTGGACTTCACCACATCATAGTCAAGAGATTGTTCCAATGGTAACGCAGAGCAAACCTCCTGTACCTTTCTAGTGAAATGACACTGCATCAATAAAGCCCACGTCTTTAGGCCATTTTAACTTACTCGAAAGCTACAAAACAAGCGTTGACTTCTGCTTCTCTAAATGGTGTTACAAGTTTGATACATTTACTGGCATCAAAGTCAGACTTGGAGGTGCTGGGATCAGTATCATCAGAGAAGGTGAGACCAGATACAGGCGAAGGCGAAGAAATATAGGGGGACAAGGCATTGACACAGGCTTTTATCCAATCGCTGAGCCTCCAGGTCTGATCTGCTCTATTTAATATCTCTGTCCGCTTCAGCTTCGGCAACACGTTCTTGTTTCTTTATCTTGAGATCTAATAAAGTTGTAAGATTAACAAAGGATCCTGTGGACCTTCTGTCCCAGTGTTGGTTACAGTCTCAACTGCAGACTCAGGTTGGTCCTCAACACTGCACTCTGAATGTCCTGGGAAAATACTCTTTGGTCTTTGGAGGTGCAGTCGTTTGTGTAGAGGCAGAAGAGCAGCGAGTCTGTCAGGGCAAAGATATCCAGGAGGAATCCAGATGTTGGAGGATGTAGAGCAGTCCCATGTTGGCTCAATAAGCAATGGTCCTGTGATTCTATCTTTTCTTTTGTTTATGCCTAATCAGGGGCGTAGCAACCGGGGGGGACGGGGGGGGACACGTCCCCCGCACTTTTAGAAACAGGTGATTCTGTCCCCCGCATTTTTTTTGACCCAGCGCCAATATTTCCGCCTGTGTTCTCTGATTTTTTACTTAGACTTGAGTGAGCTAACATTCAGCCAATCACAGCGCGAAGCATCTATTGGGCGCGTCTGCCATGAGCTTCAAATCTCTTGTTGCTCTTGCGAATTTTCGTGTTCGTTTAGTCGCTTTCCTGTTTGGCCGTCTAATGCACCCCAGAAAAAAATCAGAGGACGATTACATTATTTTTTTTCAAACACACACTGTAAGTATAATGTGTTACAGTATGTCGCGACGCGATGACATGAATCACACGTAAAGTTTCCTTGTTATGATTTAACCTACTGTAACGCAGTAAGACGTGTAAGACAACAGAACCCGTATGGACCTCGTCACGTCGCGCCGGATTGTGCCGAGTGTGTGTAAATGCTCTCCTACTTGTTGCTTTGGATAAAAGCGTCTATAGTCTGTTAAATGAGACATAACAGATTATTCCCAGCAGGCACACGTCAAAAGACGTTGATTTGGTTAAATTTTGGTTGCGACGTCGGGTGACCAAAATTCAATGTAAATTCAACATCTAATGTCAATGTTAAATTGATGTCCAATACCGAATACATTGATTAGGTTTTATTGATATATTTTTATAAAATGTCTGTTGTATAAAATTACTGTAGGCTAGATGTAATCTGTATAGCCTACTCATTGAACACTTTTTTTTGGTCCAACTGTTAAGTAAGATACAAGTTGTTCAAGTGTAGTTTAACTGAAATATAATAAATATCATAAAATATCATTATTTCATAAAAATAAAGTATAGATGTCCACAGTGGTCTGAAAGTCCCAAGTCCTGCAGTATTTTTTTTATTTCGAGTATGATTTCACAAAAATAGGTTGTTAAGCTATCATGGCATGTTCCCAAAATTGGCACTAGGGTGCTGTAAAATGCCAATTGCTATTCCATCTAGAATTTATTATTATGAACATCACCTTTCAGTCCCTCCAGAAAAACGCGATTATGCGATCGCATGATTCAATGCATAATCAGCCAAAGTCTGCATATTTATGCGGGGGCATTTTTTCAAATACGCCGCACTTTTGTCGCATAAATTGACGATTTCCACGCAAAATATGTGGGGCTTGCATGATTTCATAATCCCCGCATTTTTGTTGCAAAAAAAGTCACATATCTTAGCAGAAAGTTGAAAAATGTTGCGTTTACTTCACACAAGAGCAGCCATTTACCCCTGTTGCCATGGGAACATTATGAAGTGATGTAATTACGCGACATGAACATCATTGAAAAGCTGTAAAACAGGAAACATTTTTTTCATATTTTATTTATTCATTTTTACAGAAGTTGTAGCATATTCCTTTTGTAAAGCTACAGAACTTGTTTGACTCATCAATGTTTTGTAAGTTTATAAAACAAAAAATAAAACTAGATGAAATATTCCAGCACTTTCTGTGATGTAGTATGTTTGCTTATCATAGGAAGTAATAAGAAATGACTCTTTACATTAAGGTAGTAGTAGTGAGAACAGTTTTTCTCTTTTTCATCAAACCGCAGTTTTTGCAAGTTCCCGCAATTTCATCACATAAAATTGCAAATATCCTGCATATTCCATTGCCGCATAATCAAGGATTTTTGCCCGCAACAATCACAAAAAAACTCCGCATTTTTCTGGAAGGACTGACCTTTGGGTCACATCACCACACCATTTTGTCCCCCCCACTTGTATAATGGCTGCTACGCCCCTGTGCCTAATACATCAATAAATAAAAAAGATCTGACAATAAACACAGGAAACACTAGTCCTGCATTCATAATCGCATACTTCCCTACAAAATAGTATGTGAAAATGACTATATCAGAATTCATAGTACTCCTAAAACAGTAGACATGGCCTTTCCAAATACCCACACTTGGTCACACTCACCCTGAACACACACTAAACGCGCATTATCGTGAAAACTGCACCGGAGCAGTATTCGAGGCTAAGCGTATCCCATCATGCATTAGGTTCGGGAAATCGCTTGGAAAACATTCCACTGTAAGTTCAATTAATTAGATATTACATGTAATTTGGTAGTAAATCAAATTGTTAAAGTATCATTTTATTGGTGCAAAGATGAGTGGGCTATGTGTATTTTATACAACATTTGCAACAGCTTTTTATCACCTAATTAGAAGCACACAATTTTAAATTGTGTCTTCAGTTACATAGAGACTACTGACCAGACATTTAGAAGTTTATTTTAAAATGAAAAGTATTGAAAATCAAAATAAAGCTCTGTAAACACTTGTATTTTATCTGTCAGCTGTTAAATTTAACTCCACAATTAGATAATACCAGTTTAGCTCAACCAGTGACCAAGCAATGCTTCATGTTGTTCAGTGTGTGTGTAAAAAGAGCATTAGCAGTTACAGAAAACACACTTCAGCAGAACATGATCAGCTCAAAGTGGAGGAATAATATTTGCTCCCAAATGTGTATAAATGTCACTGGTAGTCTCTGTATGAAGAATATTTGGGTGTAATATGTCACAGTTTACTTTATTTTGCTCTCCTCACTTACATAAATGAACTATAGTGTCCTGCACACACTAGTAAAACAATATAAAAAAAATGATATCTGGTGTCTGAATAATTTTTGGTTTGACTGTATTTCACATCTAGTTATGTTCACACACCTATGTAAAGTTTGTATTGTTCGTAGTCAATATTTACTAGGTAACAACCAAAAAAGTTTAAAAAGTGTGTTGAAAAGTGATTGCCTCGATGTATAGTGTTGTGTGGCCACTATGACATCATCATCATCATCATCATCATCAAGAGTGCGAGAAAAGTTCCATTTACAAAGAGAATCAAAAGTATTGGGAGATTTTATTTCACACCTGCAAATCATCTCAATGCCAAAGGCTACGCTGATCTTGACGTCTACAACTGTCGTTTTGAATCGTCACAGAGCAGTTTCACAGTAATTTCCTTATTGAAGAAGAAGTCGAAGAGTTTGTACAGGAGTGTTGCAGGATTCTCCATGCATGCTAGAGAGTGTTCCTCGCGATGGCGTTCAGCGTCCGCACTTTTGTCACGTCGGCCACTTTCACTGCATACTCCGGTACGGCCAGAGAGCCTCCCATACTGACGTTACAGTTCCTACAGACGAACAAACAGAGTGCTTACAAAGCCATTCAAATAAGTTAAAACAACTAAAATTCAAGATAATTCAACCTCTCAACAACAGTTCCCACAATCTTAGAAAACCTCGATATAATAAGACATCGTGAAACTTTAAAATTGTGATTTCTAGACCTGGAATAGTTTCATGTAAATTAATAGAATCTTAAAACGCCATAAGGAAGATACATTGGTAACACAAAAATCAAAGTAATAGACCAAGGCACTCGAATTGTGTATACAAAAATTAAAAAGCCTTTATTGAATCATGGCTTTTAGTTTTATCTTTAAAATTGGTGACAGATACACCTACGCGTTGCGGCTATTGCCTTCGTCAGGGTGTGTGTAACAAACAAAGTCACAGGTGCATTTTAAGTAGCAGTTCATCAATCTAAATAGCAAACACCTGGTCACACTATGTAAAGTAACCAGCAGGGAGCAGAGTTCAACAAATGAAATAATATCTTACATAATAAAAGGTCAAATCACAACAAAAAAAAACCATTAAATAAGGAAAATAAATAATAATAATAATAATATAAAAAAATATATAAAAAATAAAAAAGTTATATAAATCCAAATGAAATATTTCGTCAATATCTTAATTACAGTGTACAAATCAATTTACTCACTGAAAGCTACTACATTTCCAGGTTTAAATGGAGAACTAGATATTGTACCATTTTTGTGAAAATATTTTTCATGAAACTAGTCGTATTGTGTACTATTAGATGTATTCATCCATTGATGTGTATATTTTGATTTGTGTTATTTGTTCTACTTTATTTAATTGAATATATAATATCGATTTGTTATGCTTTGATTTGTATACTGTAATTAAGATATCAACGAAATATTTCATTTTGGATTTATATAACTTTTTCTTTTTTTATATATATATTATTATTATTATTATTATTATTATTTTTTTATTATTTTTTTTATTTTTTTTGTGATTTGACCTTTCATTATGTAAGATATTCTTTCATTTGTTGAACTCTGCTCCCTGCTGGTTACTTTACATAGTGTGACCAGGTGTTTGCTATTTAGATTGATGAACTGCTACTTAAAATGCACCTGTGACTTTGTTTGTTACACACACCCTGACGAAGGCAATAGCCGCAACGCGTAGGTGTATCTGTCACCAATTTTAAAGATAAAACTAAAAGCCATGATTCAATAAAGGCTTTTTAATTTTTTTTATACACAATTCGAGTGCCTTGGTCTATTACTTTGATTTTTGAGTTAAATTATCCCAAGCAACCAAAGAGCACCGAGTCTTCACACCCTGTGCAGCACTTCAATGGCATTTTCTGCTGTGATACATTGGTACACTTTAAAATAAGGTGTCATTTGTTAACATTAGTTAACTAACATAAACTAACAATGAGCAATATATTTGACAGCATTTATTAACCTTTAAGTTAGTTAATAAAAATGTTGCATGCTAGTTCACGGAGCATTAATTAACGTTAACAGATACAACTTTAGATATTTTAAATGTATTAGTAAATGCTGAGATTATATTTAAGAATAATAAATGCTGTTGTTCATTGTTAGTTCATGTTAACTAAAGTAGTTAAAGTCCCCCTGTGGTGAAAATCAAGCTTTTAATGTAGTTTATGTGTCTATGTGGTGTTTTTAATACGCTTTAAGACACACCATGTGTAAGTTCATAAGTCGACAGCATTGCTGAGTATTTTCTGCTTAAAACTGCAGTGAACCAAAGACAGTCTCAAAAACACGGTTTGAAATCGCTGGCGTTTCTGACGTCACAAACGACCTTGTAACCAATCAGATCAACGTGTGATCGTCAACCAGTGGATCTCTGAGCTGAGTGAGTGAGTGGAGGCGGGGCTCATCTGCATATTCATAGAACCGCGCAAGGAAAAACATTTCAATATGTAATTTTGATTATTAAAGATGAGTTTTAAGGGACTAATCTTAACAAATGAAACCATCTTGTACAGTTTTTCCGAGACATTTGTGTAGTTATGCTAATCGTGTAGAAATTTTAAAAATCCTTCGGTAACCCTTTATTTTTACAGTGTCTGTAGTTACTGTAGTAATAACTATAAATTATGCCTAATTACATGTAACTTACCCCGAACCAAACCCCAATCCTAACTCCAAATCTAGAGTAAGTACATGTATCTAAATATTATTACTCACTCAGTATATAAATGCATAATAGTAAAGTTATAAAGTTTATAATAAAGTGTAATCAATCCTTCTCCTTTTCCGACTGGAAAAGACATTTAAATTAATTGAACATTCAGCTCTTAAAACTTCTCCTAAAATGCAATTGTTCAATATTTTTATCACGTTAGGTCACTTATTTTACATTACAGACACTAGGAGTGTCCATAGAGCAACAAAACTCTGGCCTTTGAATGTTGTTGTGGACAGTGAGAGTAGAGTTGAACAGAATGTTGTGGACAGAGAGAGTAGAGTTGAGCAGAATGTTGTGGACAGCGAGAGTAGAGTTGAGCAGAATGTTGTTGTGGACAGCGAGAGTAGAGTTGAACAGAATGTTGTTGTGGACAGCGAGAGTAGAGTTGAGCAGAATGTTGTTGTGGACAGTAAGAGTAGAGTTGAACAGAATGTTGTGGACAGTGAGAGTAGAGATGAGCAGAATGTTGTTGTGGACAGCGAGAGTAGAGTTGAGCAGAATGTTGTGGACAGTGAGAGTAGAGATGAGCAGAATGTTGTTGTGGACAGCGAGAGTAGAGTTGAGCAGAATGTTGTTGTGGACAGCGAGAGTAGAGTTCAGAAAAATGTTGTGGACAGCGAAAGTAGAGTTGAGCAGAATGTTGTTGTGGACAGCGAGAGTAGAGTTGAGCAGAATGTTGTGGACAGCGAGAGTAGAGTTGAACAGAATGTTGTGGACAGCGAGAGTAGAGTTGAACAGAATGTTGTGGACAGAGAGAGTAGAGTTGAGCAGAATGTTGTTGTGGACAGCGAGAGTAGAGTTGAGCAGAATGTTGTTGTGGACAGCGAGAGTAGAGTTGAATAGAATGTTGTGGACAGCGAGAGTAGAGTTGAACAGAATGTTGTGGACAGCGAGAGTAGAGTTGAACAGAATGTTGTGGACAGAGAGAGTAAAGTTGAGCAGAATGTTGTTGTGGACAGTGAGAGTAGAGATGAGGAGAATTTTGGTCTGGACAGTGAGAGTAGAGTTGAACAGAATGTTGTGGACAGAGATTAGAGTTGAGCAGAATGTTGTTGTGGACAGTGAGAGTAGAGATGAGCAGAATATTGTTGTGGACAGCGAGAGTAGAGTTGAATAGAATGTTGTGGACAGCGAGAGTAGAGTTGAACAGAATGTTGTGGACAGAGAGAGTAGAGTTAAACAGAATGTTGTGGACAGGGAGAGTAGAGTTGAACAGAATGTTGTGGACAGAGAGAGTAGAGTTGAGCAGAATGTTGTTGTGGACAGTGAGAGTAGAGATGAGCAGAATGTTGTTGTGGACAGAGAGAGTAGAGTTGAACAGAATGTTGTGGACAGCGAGAGTAGAGTTGAACAGAATGTTGTTGTGGACAGAGAGAGTAGAGTTGAGCAGAATGTTGTTGTGGACAGCGAGAGTAGAGTTGAGCAGAATGTTGTGGACAGCGAGAGTAGAGATGAGCAGAATGTTGTTGTGGACAAAGAGAGTAGAGTTGAACAGAATGTTGTTGTGGACAGTGAGAGTAGAGTTGAACAGAATGTTGTTGTGGATCGTGAGAGTAGAGTTGAGCAGAATGTTGTTGTGGACAGCGAGAGTAGAGTTGAGCAGAATGTTGTTGTGGACAGCGAGAGTAGAGTTGAACAGAATGTTGTGGACAGCGAGAGTAGAGTTGAGCAAAATGTTGTTGTGGACAGAGAGAGTAGAGTTGAGCAGAATGTTGTGGACAGAGAGAGTAGAGTTGAGCAGAATGTTGTGGACAGCGAGAGTAGAGTTGAACAGAATGTTGTGGACAACGAGAGTAGAGTTGAACAGAATGTTGTTGTGGACAGAGAGAGTAGAGTTGAACAGAATGTTGTTGTGGACAGTGAGAGTAGAGTTGAACAGAATGTTGTGGACAGCGAGAGTAGAGTTGAACAGAATGTTGTTGTGGACAGAGAGAGTAGAGATGAGCAGAATGTTGTTGTGGACAGTGAGAGTAGAGTTGAGCAGAATGTTGTTGTGGACAGTGAGAGTAGAGTTGAGCAGAATGTTGTTGTGGACAGTGAGAGTAGAGTTGAACAGAATGTTGTTGTGGACAGTGAGAGTAGAGTTGAACAGAATGTTGTTGTGGACAGTGAGAGTAGAGTTGAGCAGAATGTTGTTGTGGACAGCGAGAGTAGAGTTGAACAGAATGTTGTGGACAGAGAGAGTAGAGTTGAGCAGAATGTTGTTGTGGACAGCGAGAGTAGAGTTGAGCAGAATGTTGTGGACAGCGAGAGTAGAGTTGAACAGAATGTTGTTGTGGACAGAGAGAGTAGAGTTGAACAGAATGTTGTTGTGGACAGTGAGAGTAGAGTTGAACAGAATGTTGTTGTGGACAGTGAGAGTAGAGTTGAGCAGAATGTTGTTGTGGACAGCGAGAGTAGAGTTGAACAGAATGTTGTGGACAGAGAGAGTAGAGTTGAGCAGAATGTTGTTGTGGACAGCGAGAGTAGAGTTCAGCAAAATGTTGTGGACAGCGAGAGTAGAGTTGAGCAGAATGTTGTTGTGGACAGCGAGAGTAGAGTTGAGCAAAATGTTGTTGTGGACAGCGAGAGTAGAGTTGAGCAGAATGTTGTGGACAGCGAGAGTAGAGTTGAGCAGAATGTTGTTGTGGACAGCGAGAGTAGAGTTCAGCAAAATGTTGTGGACAGCAAGAGTAGAGTTGAGCAGAATGTTGTTGTGGACAGCGAGAGTAGAGTTGAGCAAAATGTAGTTGTGGACAGCGAGAGTAGAGTTGAGCAGAATGTTGTTGTGGACAGCGAGAGTAGAGTTGAACAGAATGTTGTGGAC